CCTGAGGCATCGAACATACAAGGTGATTGTTGCATGAAGAAATGGAGGTGTCTCAAGATGAGGAGCTTCCAACCGATGAATGCTTCATATGAGGCATTGAAGAGGTGCTTTTTACTATCCGTTTCTGGTCACAGAATAGGTTTTTGACGGACTGGTTCAACCATGTTCAACCAGCTGAAACACGCAGGACCCCTTGACTTGGGAACTATCTACGGCTCTCTTTGGCGCGCCCATGTCCGCGATGCGACGTCGCTGCCAGGGCTCTCATGTGCTGAACACTGTCGTTGAATTCAGTTCCCCAGCCCATCATACTTTCGTCGGTTCCAGAGGCAGAATGGCAATCATAGAAGGTATTCGGTTTGCCACTGGCACGGGTACAAATGTCAGGGATAAAGAAGCGAATCCCGAAGTTGAGCTGTTCCAGGTAGTTCCTGGGTGCGACTGGCACGGAGAAAGAGAAGGAATGAGTCCCAATCCATGAATCTGGTCCACTTGCAACTGAGTCTTGTCCATTTCCAGTCTAGATCTTTGAGGGTAACGTCTGAACAAAAACGGTGGTCAAAGGGCATTTGTATCATTCCCTGCTTGCTGCGTTCGGATTGCTGTGCCGAGACATATCCCACAGTCCACACACATAGCACAGAAACACCGGAGGCTTGCAAGCACCAATTCTATATGTATTACCTGGATCTTCCAACTAGGACACATGCAATCGAGCAAAACCAAACCGGTAACCTGGCCACATACACAAATAAGGAACCAACACAACTGCAGCCCCTGAATTTTGATAGTAAAGTAAAACGGGTTTTCCCTTGACATGCGCTATGGTCTTAAAACAGATGGGCTTCCTACTCAGTCGACGAACTCTTGTCCCTGGCAGCCAGGCGTCATGTGGTGTGTGTCGTAAAAACACGCTAAGGCGTGATTCACATCCAAGCCGACCACCTGGGAGCGCAAGTCCCCAGAGAAACACATCGATTTTTCCAGAGAAGCAGCACCCGCGTGCGAAAGCAGCGAAGACGCGCTGGGCGAAAGAAAACTATGGAAAAAAAGGATCATCGATTTCCACACCTTAGGGCTTCAGTCGCACCTCCAAGAGAAGGTGTGACTGGACCCTCCTAAACCACCGCACCCCGCACCCGTACCTCGCCCGGTCACCGAGAACTATAGGTCTGCGAGTGTACGCACCGAAAGCATGGTGTTGGACGGTTTCTGTACTCTTCGACTGCGCCAGAGCGTGAAGGACATCTCTTCACCACAAGCTGTGTCCCTCGTGTCCCTCATGTCCGGGATCGATGTACCGACCCAGGTCGACCCCGGAACGTCGTACCTGGGCAATAATTGGGCAAAAGGATGCACACATCGTAAATATACTCCAGCAGTCACAAAGGGGTGCTTAATGGAGGTTAGGGGTGCCCAGCTACTCCACTCACTTGGAGACTAAACGCCACCCCGACATGTGACTCCTGGCTTGTCTTTTTTTGTTCGGGTCATGTTCCATTTTGGAAGCTACGAACGGTCCGTCCGGGAGGTTCTCCGGGAGATGTGACTCAGGCTGGGAAACCTTTCGCAGCGCGGCGAGGAAAAGAAACCTTTTGCAGCGCAGGCCACGTTGTCCTCCACGATCTCCGGAATGTTCAGATCAAACGAGCCGGAGTTATGTGATCCTTGGAGCGCTTCGGTGGCCAAGTGGCTGCTTCCACCGAGCTTCCGCTGGGGAAGAAACACCATGTTCAGCAGCCCCAGTTGCAATTCGTGGCATGGTGACAGGCTTGGGTAACCTTTGTCTTGTTGGCCATATAAGTAAGGAACTCGTTGCAGCAAGTCCAAGGTTTGTGCCACTGGGTGCTTGGACACTCCGCCAAAAGGAACTATTTTTGCATCACTTTGCATCCAATCAACTGGACCAATGGACCCTTCAGCAGGCCGGGTTCGGGGGGGGCAAGCTCCCTTATTGTGGATTCCGAACTCTATCTTGTGCAATGGAGGCTTCATGCACTTGGATTGTACCGTGGACCTTCCTTTGAGCAAGTGTAACATCATGGACGAAGAGTCAAACGCAGTCTTGTCGGAACCCTTGTGGGACACCTTGTATGACACTCACTCTTGTGGGACACTCTTGTATGTCACTCCTGTACGACACTCTTGCGGGACACTCTTGTGGAAAACTCTTGTGGGACACTACTCTGAAGGCTCTCCACGGAGATTTCTTCTGGTGGGATGGATGTGGGTGTCTCTCCACGATGATGATGATGATGATGATGATGATGGATCTCTGCCCGCGACCACGATGGATGTCTTCTGATGACGATGGTAGTGATGATTTGATCCACGCACTTCCAAAGGGGTGCTATCCATGGAGGTTAGGGCCCATTATCCAGTGGATGGGACGAGCCACACCACCCAACTCCATGTGACTCCTGGTCTAGAATGAGTACAAGCCATTACCTCTGTTTTATTTTTGGGCTCTCCATGACAGGGGTCGGACCCGACTTCTTCGCAGGGGCTCCGGGCCCCTTCAGCAAACCCTATCTGTTGCTGAAGGGGCCCGGATTCCTAAGGGGGCGTCATGTCCCATGGAAAGGGGTATTGAGAATGGGACATGTCTCAAGGTGGGTTCATTCTTACCAGCTTCTTCAAAGTGACCTTTTGAAGGTTCCTAAGTGACCCTTAGCAGGCTTAAGTGACCTCAAACCAGGTTATCAAAAGGTCACTTTGAAGAACCAGGTAGGTGGGGTCATGTCTCAAGACTGTGGGTGAATATGCTTTGAGAATTCAAAGCACCATGAACCTCGAGGGGCCGGCGTCAAACGACTCCCGTGCCCTCCTTCAGTGCCCTAACGACTCGGCGACCGATCCCATGACATGAGCACCGAAAAACGATGAAGGAGTTATATGCACCTTGGGAGTCAAAGACTCTAAAAAGAATGGTCTGACTAGGGGAACTGATTTCGGGAACTTCCCTTACTTCAGCCGGTCAATAGAATAGTCTTTGGACTTCTAGGGTGCAGTTCCGCACGAGTTTGGCATCAAGAACGGAAAGCATTCTAAAATCCTACGAACCGATCCGGATGCTTGGACTCTGGCAGGGGAAAGACCCTTCATCTTGATCTGAAGCCTCACAATTTGAGGATCCTCAGGGTCGACGACCACATGAACTTTCAAACATCTTCCAACCAAATTGTCCACCCTCCGCCTCGTCTCGCCGACCCGGCTGGACTTCGTACCAGTCACCGGGCAGCGCCCCAACGTCCCGTCGACATCCCCAGCGCCCCGACGTCGTGCCCGATCTTTTCGGCACGCCGTTTGGCTGAGCGCCCTGTTCCGAGGCTCCCGGAAAGGTATGCATGGTGAAGGGAAGCGCGCAGAAGCGTTCATCGCCGTTGCAGGTGGCCGCTGCGACCGCACACGCGCGCCCCAAGAAGACGAAGACCGCCAAACGAACAGCGACACGTGGCATGGCGCTCGACGGACTGCCAAAAAGGTGATCACAGGTTGGGGAGATCAGTGGGTCCTACTCAATCTGAGTGTGAGGAGGGCCTGATGAACATAGAACATACATGTGGTAGTTTTGCCTGGTTCCAACTGCTTGCTTTGAGTATGTTTTAAACAGTTACATCTCAGGATCATGTCCTTTAGTAAACGATTTCTCGGCCTGAACCAGCGACCCTGCTCGCTTACGGGAGCCTCGCTCGCAAGCGCAGACTGTTCCGGCTTTTTTGTTTTTGCTGCTGCATGTTGCGGCGAACACATGGAACGTCATAGCCTAAGGGTCGTTCAGAACATCCCGGATGCTTGGATGTCCAGCAGTCGGCCCCAGGCAAGGGCCGTTGCCTGGAAGTACGAACTCACCTCCGTTCGACCATGAGTAAAGGAGGTACCTGGACCCGGGATGGATCTGGTGGTGGGGACACGAATCAAGAACTGAACAAAACAGAGATTGCTTGAACCACGTGTCCCTGGACCTTCCACTTGCTCCACTCTAGAATCCCTAGAATCCCCTTCAAAGATTCGAAGATGTGAATAGAATTAGACACCGCCAAACAACTCTCCAGCCCTAGTTGAAGCATCTCATGGCTCCTCCTCACTCAAAGCTGCAATGTCGGATTCTTTGGCTCTCTGCCCATCACCGCAAAAGAAACCACTGCACCGCTAGGAACGGTTCCTGATCTCAAGTCGTAGGAACGACTGAACCCCAAACCATCCAACCTTCGAACCTCACCGGGAACATTCTCCATTCTCGACGCCTTTGCCACCAGCCCCAGCCCAGGGGCCCAGAGTGTCTACAAAAAAACAGGCCACGTGCCTTCCCTCGTCATACCCCACAAACACCGCGGGACGTGACGCCGTCCCGGGTCTTGCGGTCATACTGAGCTTCCACGCATCATCCATGACCGCGTAGAAACGGAGAACCTGCAGAAGGAACACCACATCTAGAAAGCATTTCTAGCTGCTGTAGGACCCCCCTCATTGACTCTCCCCAAGCTATTTTCATGCACAACGCCGTCCAATCGCTTACGCTTCTAAGGTACCTGCACTGTGAGGGTTGTTCCTTATAAGGTACCTCCGTTTCTTCACCCAAAACGCGTGGAACGCGGAAGGCTTTAGGGCAGACTGGGCAGACAGGGTGCCGAAAGAGTGGTAGCATGAAGACATGGCTGGAGATTTCTGAGTATTATATGATTATATGTCACTGAATTATGGCACTGTACCTAGAACCTCGTTAGGCAATGTCCGCCCAACATCATTTAGGCACATGAGGCGGAACATTCCGCCCGTTTTTGCAAAAAACACCTAAGCTGCATCCTCAAGGTCAAAAACGCCGAGGCACAATCACATGCATTCTTGCATGCAGGAGGCAAAGCCAGAGTTGGAAAGAAACAACTTTTGAGAAAACACACGCTTGCCAGCTGACGCTAATCCGCAGTCTATAAAGTATTTGAAACTCATGTCACTCACTCCCCCGGAACGGGCAAGTAACGGGCAAGAACGCCCAAGTAACAGGTAAGAACGCCTAAGTGACGGGAGAGCACCCACGCAAAATAAATAAATACGACTGTGCAATGAGAAAATAGAAACTAAAGAGAAACATCCAGGGGTCACAAAGGGGTGGTGTTTAGTCCCTAAGTGAGTGGGTAATGGGCACCCCTAACCTCCATAGATCGCACCCCTTTGAAACTCCTGGATCAGGTGAATTCCTGATAATTAAATGTACTTACCTCACTATGGAAGTGCCTGGAACCAGTGGGTGGATCCTCATCTATGTGAGCAATGCGGACACGAACGCCTTGCGGGGACAAGAACGCCTACAGGGAGCAAGAACACCTAAGCACGGGCAAAGCCGCCTCTACCCATAATAGGCAGATATTTCTGCCCAAGAAGAGGTTCTAGGTATATGCTCAAACGGGTGGACTCATCAGTCTGCTTGGCTCTCATGTTTCTTGTGTTTTTCAAGGGACCAAACCTGCAAATAAAACACCTGGTTCGTTCAACGTGAATGGCCCCGCCAGAGTTACATGCGAGTTCACGATGCCGGGTCTACAAAAAGAAGTCTCCATATGTCTCCATGCTACGAACCCATAAGTGGTCCGAAGACCAAACAAGGGGTGAACTCCATGTGGCCAAATATGCAACATCCCCTGGGAATAACCGGGGGGGCTGAGAACGCCATTCTATAGTGATAAATAGGGGTTATTCTTGGGTTGACCTCCCCCATTCTATAGGGGTTATTCCCAGGGGGATTATGCAACCATTCCAGGGAGTGCACCTTCCTGAAAACTCACGTGGACCCTGACAATGGAGCTCCGTTCGCAGCCCTACAGACTCATCCCAGACCCCCTCCAGATGAGGGTCTGACCAGCGTCGTTGTGTGGTGATGTCCCCCCACGCTAAAATGACAGTTAGACAATGTTAGATGCTAGACACCATCTTGGATCTAAAAAACACAAACATCGCCGGCAAGAGTATGTACCTGAGTTACCATTCAACAGCTTGGCGCAAGAAAGCAGGGGTACATACGCAAGCTGGGCGGGGTCACCATCATGGCTGGCGCGTGGTGCAGATTCTTTTCCATGTCCATGACAGGACATCGTGGTTGGGATGCCATGCAAGGAACCCTGCATCTGTTTCAAAATCCCACGGCTCGTCCACGAGCGGATGATCAGGAGTCACAAAAAGATGTGTGGTCTTTAGATGGTTCTTAGGGATCCACATACTCTCTGAGAAGGTACTTGGACCCTCCAAACCTACATCACACTGTCTCCGTCCTCACCTTCTGAGAAGGTACTTAGATCCCTAGGGATGGTTCTTAGATGTGTTTAGTCTCTATAAGTGAGTGCGTAGTGGGCACCCCCTATCCTCCAAAAGGCAGCCCTTTGTGACCTTGCATTTGCTGTCCAGAAACCCAGGAAAACATATTGTCATATTAGTCCAATATTTTCCAGAAAGGGATTCACCCACTTCGGGAAACTCAAAAAAATCCTCAGCAAAGCCAGGCAAATGACTGGAAACTGAGCTGCGCCTTCTTGTCATTCTCCAAGAACTGCTGCATGTCCGCATTGATATGCCCGCCACCCAGCATGACCTACAGGAGTTCGTTTGGCTATACACAAGCACTCCATGTGTGGTGGTGTATTGACCTACATTGGTCAATGTAAGCAAATCATATCAAATCATCAGCTATATTCCATACATGGAGTGTCTGGGATAGGTGTCCAGTGGAAGTGGAGTCTTCCTTTTGTCCAATTGCTAATGACATCTGGAATGCGAGCCAGCCCCCACCAAAAGAAACGACATGCACAAGTTCGGATTTCACAACAAAACAAACACATATGAGGTCACCCATGTATACCCAGACTATCCTTTGGTCTTTGGGTGGTTGGAGGGCGGTCAACGTCAATGTAACGTGGGCAAGTATTCCATAGATGGATGGTCTGGGATAGGAAGTATCCAAGAGTCCCGAGTTATGAACTCAAGCTCGTGCTTGCTGACTCGTTTTCGTGCTTTCGAGAGCCCATTCGACATCAAGTGGTGGCGATTCTGGTAAGAAATTCTGCACCACGAATAGAACCGATGATCTGCTCCAGTTACGTCATCGGTCGCAACCCAAATTCCCGATCGCTCGCACAGCGCACAGCCCGGATCCACACATATCAAACCTAAGGTACGGTGGCATGGATCTATACACTGGGAGTCAAAGACTACAAAAAGAATGGTCTTTAGGGTGACTGAAAGGGATTGTCCTTTACTTCACTATGGAAAAAAACAAATATATATATATATATTATATAGGCTTTGGACTTCCAGGGTATAGGGGTGAGCGACGGTTTGTGGCGACCAAGCAGATGGTCGCTCCAGCTTCGAAGCCGAAGGTGTCGCACCGGTCGAACAGGTGGATCGAACTGGTCGAGGTGAACAGAGGTGTCACGTTGTGGCAAGTCCGCCGTTGCGGCCAACGACTGAAGTACCCTAAACCAACTCCTCAGCCGAAAAACACCCATGTCCACCACTGTTGCGAACCTCACGTGTACATGTGACGCGATGTAATGAGCATTATATCTTGAATCATCCTTATGATCAACCCATATATGCGAGGTACCTTTCGGAGTAATTGTGACCAGTCATTCCACCCTTAAGATCCCAAGAACGCGCAGATGAGAAGATTGCGCACCTCTCTGTAGATCTTCTCATAAGTTCGAGGCTGGGTCGATGCATGGTTCTTCCTCAGCTCGTCGCCAGCAAGGGACCGGCGACCCAAGGTTCTCGCCGGTCCCCGGCCGTTGGAAAAAACACCAACACACGAGGTGAGAGTGTGGTAGAGGGTGACAGATTGTACCTGCTTCATCGATCTTTAAATTGCATAACTATGGACTGGGGCTATCCCAAACATTCTGGTTTCAGTGGATGATGATGGTTAGGTTGCAGGCCTTCCGCTAAAATATTTTAAATGTTTACCGACTGTTACAGGTAACAATATAGGACATACCCAATCTTATATGGAAAGTAGTGGAAAGTATAACTCCTGGAAGTGGCCTCGGGGCTCAAGACCAGATGTTTTCTATCAAACAATGCCCTCCCATCTTTCATGTAACATCATGTAACCGTTCTTTCCGTCACCTTTGCACATGCCCTTGCTCCTCAGCATCTGACTTGGTCACAACCTATCTGTTCCGGAAAAAGAAAAAAAACATCAATCCCCCCCAACCTAAATAAAAGTAACATCAATTCCAAAAATAGTTCCACTCCAGCCGAAGCCACGCAGAAGCCTCCGCCAAAGATAACGCTCGCTCGCGCCATCTCGCGTGGCTTCGCCTGTCAGCCGCAATGCCAAGCGTCATCGCTTCGCGCGTGGCTTGGAAAGGATCCATTTCCTCCGGCTCCGTCGGCCCTTGCGGAATGCCCAGCTGCTCAAAGTACTCCCTGCGAATTCTGCGCGGTGTGGGTTCTGTGTTCGTGACTCTCGCGGAGTGGGGGCAGTGGGGATTCAGATTGACAGAATCAACATGAATCAACCAATTCCGCAGGGCTCCAGCCGTACCTTCTGAGAAGGTGTTTACGGGGGGGGAGGTACGACTGGAGTCCTGGGAATTGGTCATTTCGCGTCTTTCTTTGTCCTTGAGTTCATGTCGGTGTTTTGTTCCCAGAGCTGTTGGTCTACGACTTGGCCAGCGTCCGTGGACAAAATCAAAGGCACTTGGCCTGCGTCCGTGGACTTTTGGCGATCGTGGTTGAACCTTCGACAATCAGGAGTCACACCGTCCACTTGGCCACTCGGGAAGGACTTCGAAGATGAACCGAGGGGTTCATCGGAAAGAAGAACCTATAGAAAATAAAACTGAGTTCTTTGGGGTTATCATGGTTATCAAATGTTTCAACGGAAGCTTTGTAGCATAAATTTGTATGCATGCATTTGTTTCAGTCATTGGTTACTTTAGATTCTTCATACTTCTTCCTCCACTGCCTGGTTGGTTCGATATCAACATTGGCCCATGCTATAACGCCGCCGTCCCAACCCAGACATATCCCGTATCAGGGCTCAGTTCGGCCGCCGTTTCTCCGTTTCCGTTCGAGGTGGGTGGGTGCCAGGCGGGGTCAGTCTCCACCTGAGCTTAAACGGGTATCATGACCGCTGGCTGATTGGCCTTGTGAAGGGATCACAGTCAGTGATGAAGATGTGGCGCCCATAGATCTGCAGGATGGTTCCCACTCGCAGATCCTGCGACGCCCCCAAAGCCCGGTCCAGCTGCCGAAAACGAAGGGCTCCCAGATCGAAAATCATTGGAAGGTCCTGAGCAAACTAGAATTTAACTGGCCCAGTCCCAATCAGGTAGAAAAACGGAATCTTGGCTTATACATGAAATGACATGTAATTTGTACCCGTGAAACAACATCATGGTCCTCAAGAAACTTCTTGGACAATGAACCTTCCAAACACCACGTTCTGGGGTCATTCTTCATATGAAGCTTACATGTCACAAATGATATGGCAGGATCACCTTGTCAGGTCCGGGCACTCCAAGCTACCTGACTCCCGGCATCGCCAGGCACCCATTAAAGAGAGACACCTGGCACCCAGGCTCCACGAGCCTGGCTCTCTCCTCTTGCTGGCCCTGGCTCTTGAGCGAATGAAACCACCCCATCCAGCTGCCTAAAAGCCCAGCGCTTCAGAAGTCCCACCACAAAACCCATCCATCCAGCTCGGTGCACTTCCTTTGGGCCGATTTTCTTCAAGGATCCCTCTCCTCGGCCCTCAAGTAACCACCCTCCGGGGATGGGAAGCGATGTCGTCGGATCAGCTGACCTCCGCGACGGAGATGGCACGGAGACGGCGCGAGCAGCCCGGCGACGCCGGTGGTCGCCCGGCAGGTGGCCGTGTCCGCGGCCAGGGGGTGGACCAACTGGAAGTGGACGACATGTATCAGCTTCCAAACATGTCCATGCATGGACATAGAGAAGGAGCTTTGGGAAGTGGTACTTCCATCGGAAGTGGAGAGTTCGCTTTGGGAGCGAAAACCATGAGGCAACAAACGGGGGTGTCCGGGGGGACTCAACGAGATCGGCCGTGCATGGAAGAAGCAACGGTGGTCCTTTCCGTTTTCCTTTTCCCTCCTGGCACCCACCCCAGTCCCACCTTCTCAGAAGGTACTTGGACTTGGAGCCCTATAGGGTTTTTCGCTGCATCATCTACCCCTGGTCTGATCGGGAGTCATGGAGCAGTCCCATGGGTCGTGTCTGGGACTGTGTTTAATAGGAAGACGACCAGGACCAAATCCGTTTGAGGTGTCTATATATAGTCTTTTTAATAGCCTCAAAAAGAGGTCAAGGGGTGTCCAAAATCCACAGGACTTGGAAGGTCCTGCTTTTTTGTGCCCACGATACGAACATCAGCTGTCCTCTGGCCTGCACGTGGGACGACGCTTTGGCATGCTTAAGGAACCTGGACATGTCCCAGAAGCGGATGTATATAACCTATGCAGGGAAAATAAAGGCAAAAACCAGGACCCCCTCACACATACCTCAAAGGGTCGTCTTTCCCAACAAGCCACTCTTCATGACGCACAGCCCGTGCGCGGGCGGTGTTCGCCGTGTTCGCACCGTCGCGCAACGCAGTGCGCAGCGGCCAACGCCGCCACGCCTTGTGGCATCCCGCTGTTGTCGACTTTGGGCTCTTGGATCTGACAGGTGTCATCCTGCCCAGATGCTCCGGAAACCAGCACGACAGGTGGGTTTGAGACCCCAGACCCCTCCGGATTCGGGCCCAGGGTCGCGTCTGGGTGGGTCCCTCAACACCTAGGGGTTTGAGACCCCTCCCCTCCCTATAAGACCCCAGACCCCTCAGGGTCGCGTCTCGGCCCCGCGAAGCCAAATCGACGAATCGTCGAATCGGAGCGTCGAGTCGCGGATTGGATGCGAAGGGCTGAAAGCTCATGGATTCGCAGCTGGTTCACAACTGACACAACGAAATCGCTCCCGGCTGGTTGGGGAAACTAGTTAAATATCATCAATGCCTGATGTCTGGTGGATACCAAAAAACATATATGACTTGAAATAGGGAGGACCTCCCGAACTGGAAACAGCAACAACAACAACAAAATGTGTCAACATATATAATCCAATGGAAAATGCTTAAATCATTTTAAATTATGGGTCTAAGGTTTCGATGGTCCTCGAGTCTTGCTTCTTTTGGGGGGGCGGGGGGTGTCTCACAAAGGCCTTCCAACTGGACTTACCACCATCAGTCTGTTTGGCTCAGGGCCATTTCCCAGGTTTTGCTCAGGTAGTCCATCGCTGTAGTAATATAAAAAGCAAGTCTCACTTTCTGAAACTCGATGAATCGTGCTCCTTCAAAGCTCTTTCTTAAGTGTGTATGTGTGTGGCCTCTTCCCCATCTTCTCCCGAATCTTCCCCGGGAAAACCCCATATATATCCGCCTTGAGGGACCAACTGACCAACTGTGACTGGTTCAGGTCGGTAAGAAGTTGCACCAAACATCGTACCTTGCGTAATCCAGGACCTTCCAAAGTCCGGCGGTTTTGGGACACCCAAGCCTCTATAACAGCTATATGTATTTATAGACACCTCGTGGAAGGTCCTGGTTTGGGTCTGAAATGACCATGGCAGGGAACATGCTACACACTGCAGACCTCCAACAAATGCTGTTGTTACTTGAGGGAGGTCAACAAGCACAGTATGTTGATTGTGGGATATCTTCTCATCACTTAGTACGACTAGTCGTGTGCATCTATATATGCGATACATACAAAGGCCTGTCCGGGACTGGAAGAAAGACACCACCCCAGATCTCGACCCCTGAAATCCACTCCTGGCCTGAGGAGTCATATGGCAAGTCCCATGGGTTGGTGTCTGGGACGTTTGTGCAGTGAAATAGGGAGATCACCAATTGATCCGGACCCTGGTTTTTCCCACCAAGCATGACTCCACCTAGCCTTGCAGATTTGGACCCATCCCCTATGTGAAAAAAAAGAAGGAGACCTCCCAACCCATCAATATCCCGTTTGGGATCCAGTCGTACCGAACCGCTTCGGTTCGGTGGGACGACCGGGGTCCGGGTGCCAGGGTCGGGTGGAGGTACGTCCAGTCATACCGAACCGCTGAGGTTCGGTACGACGAAGTCGGTGTAGGAGTGTAGGGATGGGTTTTTGGGGTCCATGGTCCATCTTCCGGGTCTTTGCCTGGTAGGTCGAGACCTCGATATAATGCACACGAAAGAACCAGCACCCGACCAACAGGTCTCCGACTTATGGTGGCTGAAATGAAGACTTCAAAGTGGCAAGTTGGGTGAACAATGCTTTAACCGTTTGGACCAACGAATCACCACAAAACGACGTCCCACCTGTTGGGGCTCAACGCGAACCCATTCCGGTCCTCCAAATAGTAGTAGATGATCGCTTTTCGCACGCCTTGGCGGTACCGTTCACGCCGAAGAAAGAACACAGTTCGTACCGCAGCTGTCGGCGGAAGCGAGAAGGAGTGCCGGACACGCCTGCGAAACGCCTGGGAAGAGACTGACATGGAACCGGGCTTGGCATGAACCCAGACTGGAAGACGATGTTCCTCTACAACCCAATGGTTTTCAAATGTTTTCAAGTTCCAAGTTAATCTTCCAGGGTGTAATCTTTTTTGGTGGACAGTTCTGCTTTTGGGGGTCTTAGTACTGGTCTTAGTATATCCAATTGCTGAGGTACTTGCTGAGGTGGGACTTTCACATGGACTGATCACCATTGGTCTGCCCGTGATCTGCTCTGGTCTCACCGGGGTTCCACCAAAGTCGCATCCAAAATTTCAAGCGAAGAAGCCTCCACACCAGCTTCCATTCTCTCATGAATTCCGGAACGTTCACCCGACTCGCTTTGTCAAGATCTCATCACCCACCCTCGCCTTTCCCAGTCTCAACTTCCTTCCTCCCCCAAAGGCTTATGAATGGACCCGAACCAACTGCTACATGTTGGTGAAGGGTCCATTTCACCCTGCCTGGTTTCAGGTCATGTCACCCTGGCGAACGACTCCTGCCAAAAGGGGTCCAAACTTCACATGGCCCCGAGTCTCACTTCGCACCGAGTCCTCATCTCCGGAAGCTTCGGAAGCAAGGTGAACGTCCAAAGTCGGCGGAGGCACGGTGATTCTCCAAATTCGCTTCCACGACCGACTCCTTGAAGTAGCCGCTGAAGCGCAAGACGTGACGGTCAAAGGCATCCCAGGCGGGCAGTTCCTGGGTCTCCAGCTCGACCACATCCTGAAGGGAAAGCGATGCAACAGAGTCGCCTCGCATTTGTCAAATTTGTTCGGTAAAAAAAGGGGTGCTTGACAGAGGACCACCCTTACTGACTGTATCTGTATTACATCATATCAAATCATTTCCAATAGCCGTTTAATGGGTGCTGCTGGTAGTATCCATCATAATATCTGAATATATATCTGACATATTAAAACTAGATCTTCTATACCAGCACCTGCCTGCCAGGTCACCAATTGAAACCTGTTAGGGCGGGCCAACCCTCCCAAACCCTCCATGCAACGGAGACCGGAGACTTGGAAGGAGGTGCGCCCAACAGTGCCTTCACCAAGGCACCGTCTTGAAGACTTCCCGCGTCTCGCTGTCCGGCAGTGATCCGGAGCGCCACACATCCGGTAGCTTGCTCACCTGGACGGGCCACGTGGACGCTCCGCGGCATCGCGGCATCGAACGGAGCGAAGTTGGACGCGAGAAAGAACGGGGCGGGCCGGAAAAGAAAAAACACAGCTGTTCACACAGAAAAAGCCCTATTTGTTTCTTTTTGCCTGGGAACACCTGGTTTTTGGATGGTTTGTGGGGCGTTTTGGGTAGCTACGATAGTCACGGGCTCCTGGGGGTCCATCGGCGGGTCCATCGGGTCGGGGCGGTGAGGTGGCCGGGGAGGTGCCACGAGGTACCGGGGGAGAACGAGAGGTGCCAGCTGAACGACCGGGCCGTACTACCTGGGGGAAAACCCAACTGGGATAGTCGAACTAGGGTTCTGAAACAAGAGGTGCCAGCTTTGAACGGAGGTTAGGAGGGGTGCCCAGCTACTCCACTCAATTAGGGACGAGCCACACCACACCTTTGTGACCCCTGGTATAGGGTTCTTCATGGTTCTTCAACCTCTATTGGTGTGTTTGAGGAGAGGTGTCGCAAGATGTCGACGACAAGGAGAGGTGTCTTGATTGACGTGTTTGGGTTTGTCGACTGCATTGACGTCTATGTCGTTCTTTCTGGTGTGTGTTTTTTTTCTTTTGTGGTGAAGGAGTCTTTCCCATTCCTTCCGCGACAGTTTGCCGAGGCTGCCAGGTAGGTTGGCTGACATAGAAAGTGGATGAAAGCGAGGATTCAGAGGTGCTTGAAAGAGATGTAAAAAGGGTCCGCTTCTAGGTGGGCCAGCTAGTAATTCTTTTGGAGGGCCACAGCGCAGCTGGTGATGGAAATGTGGGATCTTTGATTTCTCCGATGGGACTCCAAACTGAATTGGTGGTTGGAATACCTACAACCTGATCTCCCCCAGCATCCCCCAGCTATTTTTGGCCACTCCTTTTTCCCTTTTGTACAATTTTCCAATCGCCACTATCACAACCACCAGCACCATCTCAAAGCAACATCAATTTCTTTATCAAATTTTAAACAACCGGGTCCTTTTCATGTCCTTTTGCTTCCTTGTATAATACACACAAAAAAATCCTAGCCCGGACTAGACTCCCTGGAATGTCTTGTAGCACCTTTCGTTGCTTTGTAGAAGTTGTTTGATTAAAATTCTCTGAAATGTGGTATCTGTAAAACCGTAGAAGCTGATTATTTTACTTCGAGTGATCCCCACCCTGAGAGGCTATTTGGCACATGTATTGACAGAACGCAGGTAATGCACTTGGGCGCCTTGACGAACTTTGGCTTATCGAAGGAGATCCCTTCCTTCTGCTCGATCCGCACACCATTCACCAGGTTCCAAGAGTTGGCGCGTGGATAGTTGCTCTTGCGCCTCGGAGAAACACACCGCAGTCGGAGGACCGACGTCGAGTGGGCGGTCGACACGTGAGGCTGGAGCACCGAGGCTGGACACCCCTGACAGCGCTCAGAGCGGGGGGGGCCCTACGACGTAGGGAGGCATGAATCGATCCTGGAGAACTTCACCCCATTCCACGCAGTTGGAGGATCAAGACGGTCACTGTGCTTACGTCACCTCGCCTCAAGAAACCCCGAAGAAGACACCACCTTGGGACTTCCCTCGTCTTGTCTACCAGTCTAAGGTCTCCACTGACGATAGATGTAGCCCGGCAGGTGGGGTAAGGCTCTCAAATCTTCCGCGCTCACGAGCGGGTCCTCGGACCGGCGGGATTTGGCCCCGAACTTGAAGTGGGATTTGGCCAAGGCCCTTCACAGGCAAGCCATGGGTACCGATAGAACCCAATTGATAGGAACACTTGTTACATGTTTTAAGTGGTTGGTGGTCTTAAATAGTGGTCACTCGTCACGTTATATATTAAGTCGACCATGTCATGGTCACAGCATCTGCGATCAAACTTCACACCCAAACAAAACTTCTGATCTTCGACACGCTCAACGAAAACTCTGGCGAGATGCGTTTGAACACCTATGCCTATGCCTATGAGAGTCAAAAAGAACAATCCCAAACCATCCAATGGGACGAATACATTCCTGTCCCCAATCAGCTGGTTGAGAAGTCATGGGCATAGCACCGATCTGGAGCAGATGTTTGAGTTTCAGGGATGAAAATCGGACAAAAGTGGGGTCATGTTCAGTCACGCACCCGGATCACCCCCAAAGGGAACAAGAAGAATGAATCCTTCCAGTGACCTCCAGTGACCCCCAGTGAAACCGATGTTCAAGCTGACATGTTTTCACCAAACCCTCGCGCATCCGCGCGACTCATGCCATCCGTAACCAGTCGTCCTGCCATCCGCAACCAGACCATCTGAAAGGAGCCCCATCCACATCGGATTCATTGACCCCAGGCATGACCGATCTTGACTGCACTCTTTGACTGACCGGACTCTGATGCTTTGGGAGCGTCTATACATTGCTCAGTGTTTGGGTGAGATGCATTGATCTCTCCCAGGATCCAAGTCACAGCGGACTCAGCCTCGGGCTCAGCCAGTTGCTCAGCCTCACCCCCCCCCCAACAGCGCCCAGCGTCCATCGCGGATCAGACTCGTCGATGCCGTGTTCACGGCGACGAGGAACCCGACAATATCTCCGCAAGGATGGGTGAGTTGGATCGAAGCAGAGCCCAAAAGCCGCAGCCCGGAGTTGGATCGAAGCACAGCAACTGTCAAACCCATTCAAACCCCAGATACGACCTGTCTGGGGCTGCCAGGACTGCCTTCAAAACGGCCGAGGGGTGGTGCCAGGGGTCTTTTTGGGGCGGCAGTCCCATGGCAGTCCCAGACGGGTCGTGTCTGGTCACACGATGGAAGTGGAACATCTGCGACTCGGTCGGAGGTGGAACATCGATCGGTGGGCTCAGGTCAGACCTGACAAGTAAGGCCAAACAATCCGATTGAAGCACTGAAAGAAACCGCGTGACACAAGAAAAACCTTCAAACCACCCAAATGGAAGTGGAACAGTGAGTATAATGTAGTATATAGTATAATGTAATTAATTGGCCTCCAAGTACCTTCTGAGAAGGTGTTTGGGGTGGGTTTGGAGGGTCCAAGTACCTTCTGACCCTCCAAGTACCTTCTGAGAAGGTACTTGGATTACAATTATATAGGGTATAATATGCCCCTACTGCCTGTACTTATTGAACCTTCATTCACCCTCCAAAGCTCTTCATTCACCCTCCCAAAATGCGCCGTCCCAGCCGCGCCACGCGACCGACCCCAGTTTTAACTGCGGCAGTTGCTTCGATCGACCAGTCGACCCGTCGACCCGTCAGCGCTCTCAGTTGGTCGACGGCTCCGGATTCGACGAGGGCGGCTCCGGAAGGAGCTGCAGCGCCGCAGTCAGCATGGTGAAGGCCTCCGGTTCCGGGCCTTCTTTTCGAGAAAAAAGGAGTGAACCTCGAGAATGAAAACCATCAGACTGGAACCTGGATCCTCTGACAGTGAAATCAGGCTTTTTTTCTGCGGCCAGTGATTGGTGTGAAGCGAAGCCAAGGAATCAGGTGCTGGGTCCGATGGAGGACACAAAAGATTCAGGATCTTCACGGTCTACGCTGTCCGTGGTCTGAGACCACCAGCTGCGTACTCCACCTCAACTCAACACATTTCGAGACTGCCATTCGAGACCAAGACGGACTTGCCGTCGCCACTGTCTGGTCAACTGTCATCGAATCGGTCATTGGAACCTTGCACCTCTCCCAGAGGCGACCCTGGACCCGAACCAACCATTTCACCCTGGCTGGTTTCGGGTCATGTCACCCTGGCGAACGGGTTGGGTCCTTTCTGAGCCCAAATGGGCTCTGGGAAACCGGCGCAGGCGCAGGGATTCCAGTCCGCATCACAGCGCCATTGGGTCATCTTGAGTTCTGAACGTCCGATCTTCACACGGTGGTGACCCCAGCAGGTGGTCCTGGCAGCGTCAAACGCCACAGGTCTGCCAGCCGCACGGTCCAAACCGGCAAGTCCGGAACCTTTGTGGCCCAGGCAATCACCGTCCCTTGTCACAGAAGGTCCACCCACTTTCGGTGAAGCCGGGGTGGACCCCCAGAAGCTGCGGCGCGGCTGCTTCGCCCGTGAAACCTGGACTGTACGTGGCCGCGTGGATGGTGGAATGCCGGTCCCGGCGTGGACCTGAGAGGGCCGAGCCCAAGGACCTGAGAGTGGCCCCAGGCTTTCCATCGAAGGGCTTCCTTTCGACCTACTCCGGCTGTGCCGGACGAGCGCTGCGGCGAGTCGCTTCGGAGCTCCCGACTGTGGGGCTCCATGGCAATCTCCAGGTCTGAATTCCCTGCCTTACTTCCATGAGATCTCTGCAGATCTGAGAATCCAGCTCTTTCTCGTGCGACTCCTTCGCCCTCGCGGTGCATCGAAGGGCCGTGGGTGCTCCGGCGGTGCTCCGGCGCGCGCGCTCAGCACACGTTGGAGCTTTCGGAAGCCTCATGGAGCGATTCGGAAGGAAGTCCGGGGTTCCAACTACCTCCGTTTCGAAGGTGGTTAGGGTGGGTGCCAGGGGGGCTGACCTTCCCCAGAAAATCTTGGAGTGCACTCCGACTCCCAAGGCTGAACCATTAAGCCCACAGGAAAAAGACATCAACAAATTCTTCGAGGTCACCTAGACCTAGACTTCCAACCGTTTGTTTGGAAAATGAGGGTCATACATTTCCCTGACATCCTCATGGGCCGTGCTGTGGATGGCCAGCCACTGCCAGTTTCAACTGGTCGAGACTGGTCATGCTTGGCCCACGAAGCGGGTTCCATGAACCAAGCATGTTCCAAACTCATTCACCCAGAGTCGCAGGTCGCTCCGGGATGCCGGTCCCAAGTTCGGAGGTTAGGTATGATGGTAGTCGGTTCCCTGTCACCTCACATCCAGAGCCCCTGGAGCAGACGAACCGAACCACTCGGAGCTCTGTGACTCCTGGCAAATTCAACTCACTTGGGATCCAATTGCCGCAAGAGTTGGACAAACTGCCCCCCACTGGGTAGGTCATTCTGGCGGCCAATCGATCAGACACCCGGCTCGATCCATGAGTCTTCCAAATACCCGTCCCAGGTGGTGCCATCATGTGCTATCGACGATGACGATGATTTCAAGGGGTGTAAACTTAGAGCCCTAAGAATCCGGGGTGACTTAGAGCAACAAAATAGGGTTTGGTTCGGGCCCGGACCCCTGCCATGGAGAGCCCAATGATTCTTAGGGTGAGCTAATTGTTGTCAAAAACACTGGCCAGTCTCGCAAGTTAACTGCGACATGTCCCGATTCCGGCCGATGTCCGTGCGGAGAGTGCAGAAGAAACGCCCATGAATCATGAATTTCTTAAGCTCCCGAACAAAGCTCACATGGGAAAGTGGCCCTTGGTTTTAAATACACACACACAGTTGTCTCCAAGGACTTTTCCATGCAAAAATGAGTGGGCGTGCCAATATAGAAAGGCAAAACATGTTCACTCCACTCGTTTCTGGGCATCCCTTTCACCTGCAACCAAACTTCTGGCCTTGAAAGCCTCGAAAATTCTACAGAACACATGCGATGCACAAACTCTGTAAGCCTGTAAACCAAAGCACTGAGATGCACCGACCATCGTCAAGATGAATTCTTACCTGAGCATTGCATGGTGCTTTTTCGCGGAAGCTCCGGCCAACTGCAACTCGGACACAGCACGTTCTATAGTGCCTATAGCCTTTTGCAGTCAGACTGTTGCATGACATGACTCTCTGTCGATCTCTCTTTCTCTATCTATCTATCTATCTATCGATCTATCTATCTATCCGTCTATCTATCTCTCTCTCTCTCTTTCTTTCTCTGTCGATCTATCGCTCTCTCCGTGCTGAGGTCTTGGCCACCCGATGGTTCTTGCCCTGAGACACATACAACCTCAGCTCACCCAGCTCTCAGCACAGTCGTGTGGTCCAATTTTGTCACGACAACAAAAACACGCGCGGATCCCAAAGGAAGAATAGGAAAACAGTCCATGGCCGCAACTCACTCATGTCTAGTGACTTAGTGGGGAACCCAATCCCCAAAAAGGTTTTGCAGGTGATCCACAGACTTCTTGGGTAGGAACCATATTCACCCACCCGATCTGGTCACATAGCTGTGTTGGTTCAAAACGGGTCGGGACTTTAGCCACAGAAACCAAAGGCCATCAAAGCCACCAAAGCCACCTCACCACTATAGAAGCCATAAAAAAACAAAAGAAACCTTAAAATCACCCTCCCTTCAAAACCGGGTCGCATGTTGGTGCCGCTATCCAACGCGAGGCCCTGCGGCCACGGCGTGACATCCAGCGTGCTCATCGCGCGGAGATTGGGATGACAGCACTGCTGGCCTCCTCGCGGACGACTTGTGACGCGGTGACCGACACGGATCCCAGGGATGTGCAGATTTCGGATCCAACGCCATTCTCGGCGGCGAAGCGCCGAACGGACGTGCCTTAGCCAGATCCACAAAGGGGTCAGAAGGAAAATATGGAGTGTATTGGGAGAGTATTTGGAAGTAGATTTACTATCGGTGTCGGGGAGACCCGGGCTGAAGCAGTTGTGACGAGAGGCAGTTGTTCTTCATGGATGCTCTCAGACTTCGACCCAAGCAATGACCAGACCAGTTGAGCTGCTGAAATCATTTGAAATGTATAGATAGATAAGTGTATCTTATAGTCTATATAGTCATAGTAGTAGTCATGTCTAATTAAGCATTAACCAAGCATTATATTTGACCAGACCATTGCCAAGTTCTGCTTCTCCCCTCAACACTCCCAGAGAGCCAGAGATGAGGAACATCTGCCCTCGAGTTCCTGCTTCTCTGAGAGGTCAACCACATGAACCATCCAGAAGGCAGGCACGTCATGATCGGATTGTGTGGCCCTTTTTGAAGATCATATAACATGACAATATATTCCCTATATAGGGCTCCAGTCGTACAGAAGGTGGGATCGGTGCCAGGGTCCAGTCATACCGAACCGCTTCGGAGGTACGAGTACGACTGGAGCCCGACAGGGCCAGGGATTGTGACACCAAGACTGCAGCAGGCAGCAAGGACCAGTGGCACACCCTCCATCTCCCGTTCAGTCCACGTTCAGTCCACGTACCTGCCTGAGTTCACAAAGGAGATCGGTGGATCCAGCTTGGCACCATCCACCCTCGTCAGCACGTCCTCGCAGTTCACTCTTCGATTCGAGACACCAAGAGGTCGGGACTGCCATCGCCAAGAGGTCGGGCCCGACCCTTGCCATGGAGGGCCCATAACCCAAACGCTCCATGTGGTTTGAGGGCCCAATGTAGGCATCTATGGCATACATGGAGTGTCTGGGTAAGGATTCGTATAGGGCAGTGAGAATCAGGTGTTTCATGGTTTTTCACTCCACTAACCCTCCGATCACCTTGGTCTGACACTAGTCGTTCCGACCTTGACCCAAACACTTCCCAAACACTCCATATATGGAATATATGCCTACATTGACCCCAGGTCAACCACCCAAACTGATCGGCAAATATAGCAGTCCCACGGGTCGTGTCTGGCATATTTGCAGAGATGAACCCGAGCCCAGACTGGTCTGGGCAACGGTGAATCGCATGTCTCAGCAAACGCGGGATGTCCCCACTGCCATCCACTGCCCACTCCCCCCAAAAAGAACTCTTGCAGGTCATCCACATACTTCCTGCTTTTTCTTGGGAAAACGTCCAAAACTGGCGCCCTATGGCGCCCTGGATTCAGGAAATCCAGGAAACCCGTCCCAGCGGATCTGGCGCCGTCTCCTCCGGTTGAAAGCCGGGCGTGTCCCGACCATCCGGATTGGGAGGTAGCCCGCAATTGCTCTCATAGCAACATCCTGCGGGCGGTCTTTTCTCATGTCTCCCTCTTGCTCTTCCCAAATTGCTAAGGGGAGCCTCTGTAGTACAAGATAGTACAAGTACCCCTGGCATAAGTGTGCTTTGCTTTGTTGGATCTAGTGCTGTCAGTGCCACATGCAACCATCCGGACAACCCACGTTGAACATCTCCAGCGGCAAACCAACCACAAATCGCCCATCCATCCAGCGAAGCCAAGGGCAGCCACAATCCCAACCACATGCGGCAGCCCGCATGTGGCATCTCCCACTCCCACTCCATGGAACTGCCATATTTGCCAATCAGTTGAGGTGTTTTGGGCGGTCAATGTATCTGGGCCTTGGTTCCATGCGACAACCCACTTCGTTGAGCTGTTCAACCCTGTGCAGCTTGCAGCTTGCATCTCAAAATCGAAGGAGAATCGCCGTCATGCCAGCTTTGGGCTGTTTGATGTTTGTATTTTAATTTTCCGGAGCCGTGTTTGCACTAGTAGGCTGGCTGCTGTGACATATGTTGGGCTTTAATTGATGCATGTGTGTTTTTGTTGTAAGTGGAGTTGCTTGGGGTTAGTATTCTCATTTAGATGATCCTGAGGTCCCCTCTGCACAGTTCTGTATTGCATCCGTTCGAATTCTTCTGGGGACACCATCGAGGTCGACCCAAATCCCAAGCCAAGTGCACCGAACTTCAACGCAAAACATGACAGGTGTCGCATCTCCTAAAGACAAGCAGTCGGCTTCAGAGACCCCCGGCTGTCCACCTGAGCTCCGATCAAAAGAGTTCACGCGCGGAAGGTCTGTCCCCCAGTGCGGAGGAGGTCAAGGTTGAAAACCTGTTCCTTAAGGATCCTAAGGATCCTTGGACCCTGGAGCTAGGGGTTGAATAGCAGGGGTTGGTACCCTCAAGACTCAAAACCCTTGTTTTGTTTCGGGTCCGGATCCTTAGGGCCTTAGGGTTTCCCAAAAGAACTGCTTGAGGCACGTGCCGACGTGAGGCACACGCCGGCTTTATCAAACGCTCGAGGAAACGGTGGCTGACAATTTCCCTTGATATTAGCACAGAGGGGTCGTTCAACCCATTCATGCCCATTCTCTTTAGAGAACCATCTAGGATGGTAGAGGGTTCCTGACACCAACAGGGATTGCTGACACATGGAACAAATATCCGAACAATAAATTAAACATAAAAACAAATCCTTCCGGCTGCTGACCCTGACAGTGCTAAAAACGACATCCTGATGCATCAGCCACCAACAACTTAGAACCAGTTCAATGAAGATTCAAGGACCCAAGCGATTCCGTACATGTAAAGTGTGTGGGGGTTGACTCCGAACCAGTGTGATTGGTGAGACAAGAGGCAATGAATGAGCAACATTCAACTGTTTTGGACAGTGTTCCGTGCGAGTAGATAGCGTCATAGAATAGAACAGTAAATGTTGGATGGCATTCATGCCGGACGTTGATCAACCTTGCATATTTCATTGATTAGTTAAGCAAATCCTATCAATTCCAAGCAGCAAAAGAGATGCGTTTTCTCGCTTGGATGCATTCTTTTCTCGCTGTTCTTTGCTAAGCTCGCTGCATGGCTGCAGTGTGGACTGCGGTGGCAGCTCTGCACTACACGACTCCAAAGGGTTCACCACCCGCAGCCGCGCTTGTCCGGCGTCCGCCACGTACAGCAGCTGAGTCTGGGCGGTGGCGGGGCGGGCTGGGGCGCCGGTGGCGCCGCAAAACCGTGGTGAACCCGTTCGACCATGACATCATGTTCGTTCAGTTGACCTGGTATTGGGGCACATCCTGAGATCATGATAAAAGGCTTCTTCGGGATGTTAACTTGATTCAACATATTCAACTCATTCAATCCATGCTGGCTATATATAGTGATGGCTACACAGTGGGCCCAATCCAAAGACACGGAAAACATGTTCGGTTCGACCCAATTGGGCTCGGGACCCTTGGACCACTTGGACCAAGGAAGACACCGCCGAGGAAGACTCCTGGACTGGCTCCTGGGGTCGCAGAATCAGGGGAAGGTGTGACCCACTGTCTCGAGATCTCAAGTAGTAACAACTAAAGCGAAGTGACCAATGGTGTCACATCCCAAAAATCAAAAGAATTGGGATGACTTAGGGTCCCCAACTGGGTCCCCACACCTCTGACAGCCTCCCTTGGAATCATTCTTAAAAAAAAACACCACGCTCAAAGAAGAAGATCGTGCCAGCAGTCACGAAGGGGTGCCGAACTTGGAGGATAGGGGTGCCCAGCTACTCCACTCACTGGATGGGACTAAACACCACCCAACTCCATGTGACTCCAGGTGGGGGGTTGTTGGCATCTTTTTGGGACCAAACCCGCTTGAGGAGCGAACAAAAACCGGACTCTGCCCGTCTCTGTGCATCCTCCTCCCTCCCTTCTCGAATGAAAAACCTGGCCCTGGTGGTAACGGTGGCGGTCAACTACACTCCGAAGAGTCTGTATAAGTCTTATTTTCTTGATCGTTCGCTCCTTCCATTTTCTGAATTTGGGATGGGCTGGATCCCAGGCAATGCTAGCTACACTCCCTGATCATCATGGAGGCGGAAAATGGCTCCAATCTCGGATGTCCGTTATGGCATATATGATGGCAGGGAGTGTGTCTCCTTATAGCGACCCCAACAAAATAAATATATAATGTTGGACGCTGATTAGTAAATGGATTCCTCAATAATGCTATTTTTTCCAAAATTATTCCAGACCCCATGAAAAAGTGGTCCTGAATACTGCTAATATTTTTTTGGGGGACCCTATTTTTTATATTGGAAACCTTATATTGGAAACCTAATTAATAATGGACTGCACCTTTGCTGAGCTGAGCTCCTGAATGAATCCTCCTTTACTCATGGAATCTTCCTTTACTTAGCTCCTGAGGGCAACAATTATGATTAATTAGCTGATATAGGTTTCTCTAGGTTTCTTCAAAACTGACAGCTTTCCAAAGCCACCAATTCCTAATTAAACCCTTTATAAAACATTGCTCCTAAACAAATTTTCAAGGTAGTAGACCAGGAAGGCACCTGGTCATCAATAATAGATTTGTTTTAGGGGTTCTCAATTGTGAAAAGTTTTTTCCACTGGAAAAAACTGTTCATGGAATCTTCCTTTACTTAGCTCCTGAGGCCAATGATTATGATTCATTAGCTGATATACAATCTATGCAAGGAAAATGAATACTACAATCAATTACAAGAAGGAATTCTCACAGGAATCCAAATTTGTTTTGGTGGTAGTTTATTGTAGAGTGTCCCCTATTTGTTTGAGGGAGGGGGGGGGATCCCCCTTTACTAATCAGGATCTAACATTAAAAGTAAAATTCCATTCAACATGTATTGATTTCTACGGTATCTATTTGGGGATAACGATTTCACCCTGTCACCACCAATCCACCAATCCACCGAGAGGCGCTGGAGTCCAGCACGAGCCCCATGGGATTCCGCAAACGTAGCTCGAAGCCCGCACCCAACGCTGCGCCCGTCACGCTGGTGATCGTGCCTCGTGAGGGCTATAGTGACGCTGCGGGTGTCCACGACGGGACGGGAGAGCGAGGAAAAGCTCCCTTCTCAAGCAGAAAAGACCTGGACCTTCAAAGGGGTGTTTAGTGAAGATCCCTATAGTATTGTAGGGGCTTCCATTGGTGACCCCTTTGAAGGTGCTGGTATGAACTGTTTAAAAGACCTTGAGCCTTGAGCAAAGAAGTGTTCTTCCTCCAATTACCCGCTATGTCAGCCTCATGACTGCCTCGGTTTGGAATGTTTGGACAGGATTTAAATGAGCATGAGCATGCATGAATGGTCATCAGATTGATAGAATGGTTAGGGCACGATCGTTTTGATTCACACCCATATATTCTGTTGATTGATCTTCAACTTCTTGGAACAATGCAAGCCGCTGTTTTACAGTCTCCGTGATGGGTCAATTTCAGGCAGCTGCAGAATGGACTCTGCATCAACCATGTTTGGTCTTTGGACCTACTCCCGGGAAGAGACCCACATTGAACCTGATGGCATGAACCGAAAACTAATTGTCATTCTCCTCTACTCTGCGACCGAGTGGTTTTCAGGCTCCATGTTAATCTTCCACGGTGTAATGTTGATGTTCAGGACTTGAATGGATTTGGCAGGTAAATCTGATCGGACCTGGGGCCCCCTGGGGCCCCTGAGTCAACCATCAATCCCGAAACATCAGTCTTCCACGAAACATCGTACACAAACACCCTCCCCTTCACCGTCACCGTCATTGCTTAGACCAAGCAAGGCCTGTTGGAATCTGTGTTCTGCTCCACTCCACTCGACCGAATTTGGAGACTTCCACTCCTCTCCCACATCTCATCTGCGCCTCCAGTGAGGATGTGGGAGCTCAAATCGATGCGGCGAAGTTGGTTCAAATGGAAGTCCGTGACATAGAGCAACGCCCTCCGCCCGTCGCGGTGAGGTCGTCATCGTGGGGGATGAATGACTCTGTTCGGGACGGGGCTCGGCGAGTTGTGGGCTATACCGGAACGAGTCTCAGGGTGTACCTCGGAACATGAGTACAGTCGTACTTGCTTTGTCAAGTCATGTTGCACTTTCTGTCATGTTCTATTTTGGAGGATCCAACTTGGGTTTATGCCCCAAACAACGCCTTAGATTCCCGAAAAAAACTCACATGGACCCTTTACAATAAAAAACACAAGATGCTGAAAGGCTCTTTTCTGTTCTTCCGAATCAGCCACAGATACCGTATCAAGATGTATTCTCCACCCAAGCTCCCAAAAAAAGAAGAACTCCAGCAATGCACCCGGAGGCCTCCAAGTCAACTCGGGAAACCACCACCTTGCGCCCTGATCGCGCGGATTTGGCGCTTGTCTCGGTCGCCTCGTGATGTCCAAGGCCAAGCCCATCGGCCGGAAGAGCTTGCGGCTGGCAGCATCAAGGCCATCCGTCACCTGTCGGATCAAAACGGAATGATTGGTGTCAAGGGAACCAGAAAATCTGGAAATCTTGGTCATTCACCTGTGTTCACCCCCAAAACTATCAGCACCCTCCAACCTGCCAGGTCACCACAACTGCGACATGTTGTTGGCACGTTCAGCCACCCACCCAAACGGAGACCTTTTTCGAGTCGGGTCCGTGTTTCGATCTTCGATCTTCTGGACGTCCCGAGCCAGCGAACGAACCAGCTCCACCAGCTCCACCCTCTGAGTGGGGTTTACCAATGGCCTCCCCCCCCAAATGGTGAAATCGGGATCCACCATGATCCACATACCCGAGAAGGCGATGCGTGAAAAACAGTGTATAGGTTTGGAGGGTCCAATGACTTTCTGAGACGGTACTTAGATCGCTAGGGAATGATGATGTCTTCTTATGTCGTTAGATCCCAGGACCTTCCGTTCGTGTGGTGGTTTTTGGACCCCCCCAAATCACCTCTTATAATAAGTCGGCTGGAGAGTCGGGTTCCTGGGTCCATGGTTCTCCGGTGATCCACTTTTTCAGGTGAACTTCCCGAAAACCCTGGGGGCGCGCGGTTGCCTCATCCGTGGTGGCGCCACCAGCGATCGTCCTCCCACGCACGTCAAAGGTCTTGAGACCCAAACGGACATCCCAAGCGTCCAAGCGAGCTTCAGTGGAACCACCAAATGCACTCCGAAACGACTCATGTTTGCAAAGTCTTCTTGGGCTGGCATCAAAGCTCCGGGCACCAACCGCGTCCGGGCCCTGCAGCCCCGGCTTGGAACGTCAAACAACCCATTGTGCGAAGCTGGTCACATGTTAATCCAACCACTAATCCAACCACTAATCCAACCTGTTCTTTGGATCATGCTCTGAGGAAACACTGGCGAGCACTGTACAAACTGCTGTTTCGGCACAGGATCTGCAAGAACATCCGGCAGTCTGTCCTTTCCGAACAGGAGATCTTTACAACGGCTAAGATCATGCAACAGCAACGGCTCTATGCTAGCTGCCAGCTACAGCAACGGCTCCAACAACAAACGAAGCGAGCACAAGCGCCTGCTACCACCCACCCACCCCCTCTCAGGGGGCCATGCACCACCGAACCTCGCCTGTCATTCTTCATCCCTAGCCTTTTAAGACTAACTAAGGACGGTGGAGCTGGTGTTGTAATCCCAAAATCAGTCAAACAACAGTTCTTTGGTACAAAACAAGGATGGTGGCTTGGAATCCTAGCCTTTTGGCTCTTTCCCACCGCTCCCGAAAACCACGTCTCCTGATGGTGCCGGCGCCCAGATCCAGGCGCCGCACGCGGCCGTTCTCGGTGTCGGCGATGTAGAGCAGCTGCGAGGCGACGTCCAAGACCAAACCTGGCCATTTCCAACGTCTGCGACGACGCGGACGGTCGACGTTTTCGACCTCGTCTGGTGTCGTGGAGCCAATTTCGCTGATCTGAAGAAAGGAGGCAAATGAACCATCAAATCACCATCTTCATCCATCTTCAACAATTTCGGTGGTTTAACCTGGTTTAACCCTTGTTTTGGCCGCATCTTGCCAGGTTGAAAAGGCCTACCCGCCTCTTCAACCTTAAACCCACCGGGTGTCCTGATGGTGTCCGCAGAGTGCTCGCTGTCGCGCTCTGCGCCGTCGTCAGATCCTCAGGGCTAGGCAGCGCTCCAACGCCCGTGCCAGCCACGGTGGTGATCGCGGGCAGCGGTGGCAAGACATACCTGGACGACACGTCGCGCGGACCGCGGGTCGACACACCGCGTTGGAACCAGGCCCAGTCTGTGACGCTACGTATAGTGACATGATGGATCATATGTGTCTCTGGGGCGTGTCACCACTTTTTAGCCGGGCCCAAAGACTCCCATGTATGGAATATCCTGCCCAGTACATGAAGTCTCTAAAGCGTGTCACAACTTCTACCTGGGATCTTCCTTTCGGGCTATCCAAGATCCCAGCAGTTTCGTGACTGCCTGAGGCAGGTGCTGGTGATGAGGCGGAGTGTGGACATGATCGTGCAGGAGAAGGCCTGGACAACCCCTACTGTATCATCTGCATGATTCCATTTCGCTCGAAACACGATTCTTTGCATTGGATTGTGGTGTTTTATCGGTCCACACCCTAGCTCAGTGGGGCAGTGGCCCACCTGTCCGCCTAGTACCTGGAGATTGAACCGACGCGTCCGATGCAGGAGGGATGCGTCATAGCTCGACCATACCAGCTCATGAGGTCAGTGCTTGGATATTCTCAATGTTGGCTGGGCCATTGAATGGTGTCCATCCAGAGCAGGCTAAGAAGCAACTCGGTGTGGATGCGTTTGGACTCGAACGATTTCAGAGCTTCAAATGAGGTCTTCTGGAAGTACAACTGTTCCGGACCGACATTCCATAAACCGTCGTCACTTTCTTCACCCCCACAGCATGCCGCATGCCTCTGAAGTCTTGGGAACTCTATTCCAAAGACGAAAGAACCGATTCTTCCTACATTCTGAAAGCACCACCTCTGAAGCACACGCTGTAACCCCCGGCAGCTATGGCACCGAGAACCTCAGAACGTGAGCACTGAGGCTGTGCTCGAGCACACTGAGGCAGTGAGAACATCATCCGTTCCTGGAGAAATCCTTGTTCATGGACCTCCTTATCATCCGTGTGTTCCTTTTTTGCAAGGCTTCCTGGAGCCATGGGAACGTGACTTTATGTGACTATCATCCTAAACAGTCATCATCATGCATCCTTCCTCCTGCAGCTTCATCCGGGGCCACCTCCTTCCTACCTACCTACCTCCCTACCTTCCTTCCTTTCCAAAGGTTGAACATGGGCCCCCAAATGAGGAAACCCACCTTTTGGGGGGGCATGTGAACCGCCTAAGGGTTTCCTGTAGATCACCTCTGATAGCACCCCACACCAGGTATCCTGCCCCACCGTTGCATCAACCCTGTTGCAGCAGGTCGATCCTGGGACCCCAGTGGCTGGTCACCTGCAGGACGGACACGGTCGAAGAGAACGCCATCGGAGTCTCATCCGGAAAGTAGATAGAAAAGGAACCCATCCGAATACTATGTGTTTGCAGGTGAAATACCAGTCTTCCCTGTTTCATGTGATTTTGGAGTTTCAGCAGTTGATACCAGTCTTCCGATGTGTTTTGGAGTTTCCCATCATTCTATCTAGTCCAGGATTACTATATAGTTGAATCATGTTGAATCCCGAAGAAGCATGGTTTTACGATCTCAGATTACAACACCGAATTCAGACACTAAAAAGCTAAGGTCTTCTCGAAAAAGCTAAGGTAGTGGCTTTCAGCTCTCTACACGCAACTGACGCAACTCGTCAGAACAGATCTTTGCAGAAAAGCACCACCACCGAGTCCAACAGTGAGAGGCAGTCGTACATTCGTTTCGCTTCGGTGGGACGACCGGCCCGGGTGCCAGTGCCTGCCAGGGTCCAGTCATACCGAACCGCGAGGTACGACGGGTCGGTGTAGGGAACAGTGAGAGATCTCCAGAAGTCTCCATCTCCAAAAAAACCTAAGTCTTAGAGGCCGGCGACTCCAGCAGCCCAGCTCGCCCACCGGCCCGGCCCAAGCGCACCTGCAACTGCACGAGGTTGGTACCAGAGGTGAAGCTCGCGCTGGCCACGCTCCACCAGTAGTCGTTCCGACCTGGCTTCGGGTGATGTTGCACCGATCTCACCCTTCGGCTCAGACCTCGGACTGAATGGATGCCCGGTCTGGGGCATACACGCCCCAGATCTTCAACCACTACGGCGTGGCTTCGCTGAAGCGCTTCGCTCCCGTGCCCACGGACTGAGCCGAGCATCCGCCCGAGGGAAAGGGGCCCGAGGGCTCAAAGACCAAGGCGTCGGTCGTGACCACCTCGGGGCGAGCGATTGGATGGAGTCGTCGGAGAAGATGTCGAAAGGGATCTTAAGAACATCTGCCCGCGGTTTTGTGGCTGCGTTAGTCTACCCAGAGTCGACCAAACGATGTCTGGGACTGGAGCAGTATACATTTACCCCATGAAGATGACCTTAATGTAAGTATAGATGGTCTGGGGTAGATAAAAGGCCGAAATTTCGCAGACTTGGAAGATCTAGCTACAAACAAGAATAAAAGGTAAGAGTGAACCACCCTGCGAACTGCTGGGCAATTTTGGTCTATACTCTCTCTTTGACTGACAGGGTTCTAGTCACTGACAGGGTCTCCCAAGAAGTGCAGCCTCAAAGATGTACCAAACCATCCAACCTTTCTGGGTCAATGAACGAGGAACACCTGGGTGGTCACTCCTTGGGTCCTTTGTAGTGAGCATCGGAGCATCGGGTGATGTCTCCAGGCAGGCAACAACAAGGGTCCAACGGTCTCGGTGTCAAGCTGGTCTATGTGCACACCGCTTGTGGACAGCCTCTGTCCACCTCTGTCCACTTGGAGTTGCAGGAACCCAGGAACCGATACCAAAACATCATCTGCTAGTATCTGCTACTGCTATATATACAAAAACCTAGCCCAGATCATGGCAAGTGGCAAGTGGCATGCCAGGATTGGATTCCGTTGGATTCATTTCACCCAGTCAGCCGTCGACTGCATGTGGCAGCCTGGATTCCGGATTGGCTGACTTGCAGATTTGGATTTCAAGCGGATTCCGAAGCGAAATGGGACTGCCATAGGACTGCCGCCCCAGCCAGACCCTCAAAACCACCCCTGGCCGTTTCTCGGCAGTCCGGACTGGCAGTCCCAGACTGGTCGTGTCTGGGATACCGGGATAAGTGTAACTATTGACCTCTCCATTGATCCTAGCAGCTCCTCCTCCTGTGTTCAAACCCTCATGTCAATCCAAAAGCGCTCCGCCGCTGCAGCTCTCCGAGTCCCAGGGGCTCCGTTCACCAGCAAACGCAGTTGACGATTCCCAGGCGATCGGATCTCGCTGTAGCGATCCGCGTAGCGAAAGCGAAGTTCATAGGTGCCTGGGACACGAGCTGCAGTGTAGGATGAGGCAGTAAAAAGCTGATTGTCTTTGACTGGAATAGACTATATATTCTCTGATATGTCTGGTCATGTGCACGTCACAATCTCCTTTAAAACTGGCTATTCGAAGGGTATTTGGCTGGTGCTTTCAAAGCCAGGGGGTGGTTGATGAATCAAAATGATTCTGCGTCAACTACGCCATCTCGCCGCGGTACAAACGAACACCTGCGTTCCTCGTTTCATCCCAGGCGGCCAGCCCCATGGGAGGCTTCGACGTGAAAATCCAGCCGATCCTACGGCATCCGGAACAGTAGGTGTATCGACCATCCATGGGACTGGAATAGTGTCTCACCATCCGTAACGGCTTCGGAAGCCGACCATTCAAAGAGTTCGGTTGACCGGAAGTGTTTGTTGTGTAAAATCCGTAACAAATGGTGGTTCGGTATAGTAAAGACCATTAAAAGCTAATGGTTGTTGGAAGCCTAGGGTACTTATACATTAATAGGTCCTTTTCATGGGGTAAATGTATACTATTCTTCCAGTCCCAGGCATCTGGGCCCCTGGGGACCGGTGTGGGCTGATGGTGGCACATGGTGGATCAGACCCGACCGGGGAGGAGGGGGCACATGTATACTGTAAAGCATCCTGAGCCTGCAAGCATTTCTTTTGTTCAACATGTTTCATGCCGTTTGGATCGGTATGGAAGAACGTGGAAAAAGAAGTTACAGAACATGTATAGTGTTCCTTATTTGTTGGCCGAATGTTCCTCGAGAAGGAATGGACCTGTGCCTGCACTCCCTGGTTTGACCTCTACAAATGGGCCAAGTTACATGATATGAATAACCCCAATTCTTCAAAGGTATGTTCTTCAAAATATTTAATGTCTAAATTTACTTGTTTTTGCTTTCACCTTTCTCGCATGGGTTTTTTTTTTTAAATATTTTTACATTGGCCTCGTTCATTTTATGTATAGAACGAAGGGAAGAACTAAACTATTTGAATTCATCGTCGATGAAGCCGCCTTCTCGCCATGCATTCGAAGTGACCTTCTTGCTGCCGAATTTCCGGCCGTTCGGTCCGTGTGACGCGCCGTGGCACGGGAACGCTTCTCTTCGAAGAGATGTTTCACGACCACCCGGAAGCTTCTTCATCTTCAAACCGTTGAGAAGTGTGGGGTTCGGATGACCAGAGATGATCAAGGCACCGTGAAAAAACAACTGTTAACAGTGTCCATCGATGAATTGAACTTGGGTTTCGTGAGACGACGGACCAGCGAAATGTGTCGTTCTCGGGTGCGACATCTCCTCGTGGGACTGTGAGAAGTCTGTGTAGCCAGCTCCAGTGCTGCCTGACAAAGAACGCTGTATTTCTTCATGGCAGACGTGCCGACGTGTCTTGAGCTCGAAAATCATCTGCGATAATAAGCGCGACCCACACATACCAGTATTGTTTGTAAAGCAGTGCAGTGCAGTTTTTGATTTTTGATGTTTTTGGGCGGCATCCAGTTGATTCCAGTTTGAGACATTGCTGCTAAAGGACCCCTGTGAAACCCACAGTGAAAGCGGCACCGCTGTACCCAAGTCCTCAGGAAGAAACCACTTGATTTAATGTCATCAAAGTCTAAGTTCACAGCCGGTTCCATCTTTTCGGCAATCGATTCCCTTGATTTTGCTCTCTTGACCTGCCTCAAAGGAATCTGGCCATCGCTCTGGGGAGCCACCACGCCTATCTCCGCATCCTATCGACGCGTCACCCGCAGGCGTGGAACCGCGCGCCTTTGCAATAGCCGCTGCCCAAAAGCAGGGAAGACGCCGCTGGTGCAGAGGTCAGGGGACACACCAATTGCTGTTTCGGTCCATGGAGCCTCTCCCGTCGTGCGGACCAGTCGGCGCACGAGACGGACCGATCCGAGCTGGAGGCCGTGTTCCGGCCACGGCAGGGCAAATCAGTATAAGGCTTCACGAGGGGCGATGGAGGCAATCAGGGGCGATGGACACATGCCCGCGCAATCGGTTTTGGACCATGAAGTCTCCTGTAGCAACTCAAAAACATCAATTACCCGCCTGACAGTGTCTGTGCTGGCACCAGAACTCGTGCGATTTTCTTCTGCTTGATAGTACTCCCCTGTTGCCAAGGTCACCTGAGCCAAGGTCACGCAGCAGCAGAAAGAACACCATATGTTCGATGTGCAAGGAATGTGCTGTGAACATAGCATGATGCTTATTATAGGATTGGCTGGTTCACAACAACCGTCATTTTGAGCTCTCATTGGCTGGGCCCAGCTTGGTTCACCAGACTCCACTCCACTCGGCGTTCGATGTGGCTTCAACCCCTCCTTCCAAAGCCGCCGGTTTCTTCGTCCCAGCATCCGCGCGGATCCGATGATTGCCCGAGTCGGCCACGTAGAGCACCCCATTGCCGCTATCCACCGCCAGGCCCAGCGGGACATCTGAGATCGCGCGCGGTACCACCGCGCCAGGTACCACCGCGCGATTGGGGGAGGACTGGGTGGCGCGTAGACCCGTTTGGCCTCCAGTCGTACCGAACCTGAGGTTCGGTGGTACCTTCTCAGGAGGTACTGATGGCACGTACTACGTGATCGGAGTAGTTGGTAGTTCTGAGTCTTCGGAGTCGGATTTGCGGCATGACCCAGTTCCCTGGGAAAATAAACAGATTCCCCATGTGAGAGGGATTCACAATTGAAAGCAAAAAAGATCGTCCTAATTAAGCAAAACCAGGGTTTGGGGGGAAAGAAGTTCTGAGCTTAGAAGAAGCTTCGCTTCTAGAGAACGAGTTGAACGAGGAGAACGCCCCGAAGCTTAGGCCTGGCATAGGATGTTTCCAAACAAAACAAATCCAAAGCCGTGCCATCTGGCAGGTGCCATGTGCATGATTAACTTAACATGTTCGAACCACGAAGATCTGATCTATTTTTTTGGGGTGGCCCAAACTTGGAATGAAGAGGGCGACGCCTTCACCCATCTGGATTCCATCTGGATCTATCTGAAGTCTTGGATCCGTGTGGTCACAGATCATCAACGCTCCGGACCCCTCCAAACGGCTCCGTGCACAGGGTCCTGACCCTCCCGGGTCGCTCCTGGTCCGGTCTGGAGCCTCCAGTCGGGGAACCGGCCGGACCTGGTCACCGGGTCGTTGGTTTTCGCGTCTGGGGCGAATTCACATCACCCAAAGGTCTGCTTAAGTCTTCACTCCTCCATCTAACCCCAAACACGACCCGAACTGTGTACGGACTGCCTTCAAAACGGCCAGGGGTGGTGCCATCTGGGGGTCGATGGGGCAGGCATACATGGAGTGGATATGGGTATAAGTTAAAAGTTATATCTCCCACTTCTCAACCCAGAACGTTTGCCACCCACTTCGACCTTCGACCCATGCGACGACTGGCCCAGACCCTCCGGACTGATGGGCCGAAATTCACCGATCAGTTGGGGTAGCTGAAAAGGAGTCGACTTCTGGAGCGGTAGATCATTATTCTAGTCCCATGGATGATCTGGGAAATATGCCGAAATATGGCCATGGGTGTCTTGTCTTGTCATACAACCAATGGGACTGGAATATTTTACCATGCATTTGGGGCGGTGTTTCACTACTCAGGGGTCCATGTATACTATAGGAATATCAATGAACATCCATGAAATTCCATCCACACACCCCGACAGGTCAAGTCTGGTGACTGGTGACTTAGTACGTGCTTCCACTCTTCCACGCCCGCCCAGGACACCGCCCGGACCGGTTCGTGATCGGCGTCCAAGGCACTCAAGAGCGCCGCGACCGCCGTTCCATCGCCCGACCAACCCGGCTCACCGGTACCAGCAATCGTCTCCTCAGCGAGGCGCGAGGCGCGAGTCCAACCGCGCGGTGATGGGTGGTATATGGTGGTATATTGGTGGCCATTTTTGGGTGGAAAGGAAGGCCGTCTTTTCGGGGGGCACTGCCAATATGGTGTTTCCTTAATCAAGAAATGTGTGAAACCTTTTGGATGTCAAAGATGGCCAAACAGTCCAGCTGCCAGCACTCAGCCGTTTCTGTGCGGAAAAGGCTCTGTCTAATGCTCTAATGATCATTATTGGTTGTGTTGATGCTCCCGAAACCTAGCTACTTAGTGACATCCCTCACAAAATCATGGCCCCTTGGATGACCATTGTCCTCGACTAACAGGATCTAACAGGTGGTTTTCCACTTCCATGTTTCACGATGGGTAGATCCATTTATCACATGGAAGTGGACATGGCCCCCTTGGGAGACGACTTTCCTTCACGTGTTGTTTTGTTTTTTTGGTTCTTGCGCCATCCTGCGCCCGAAGGTCATGTGTTCGTCGGAGTGTGATCTTCTGTTGAGGAAACATAACAACTCACCCAATTGGATGATCTTTGTGCCCAGTGGACAGGATAATTAATCCAAGGGAAAACTCAACAGTTCACCACCTAACATGGTGCTGTGGGGAGGTCAAAACACCCTGGTGGGCCGACCTTTGGTGGACCAGCAAGAAAAGAACAGAATCGACGACGAGACATGGTCAACCTACCAGGGCTTGGGGTTTTAGGCTATGCTTGAAGCTGTTCAGGGCCAGTCGTCCACTGTTTCCAGGTCATGTGCAGGTGATGGCCATACGTAGTCGACGTTAGGTTTCACATATAAGAACACACACACACACATTACCCAGACGCAACCCTGGACCCTGCGTTCAGTAGGGGCCGTACCATACGGAGGGGTCCAGAGTCCAGACCCTCAAATCCCGAGGGTTTTGAGGGACCAAGGCCTGTTCGGAGCGTCTGGGTAACATATATTAACATGTGTTTCGTTTCGTCGCTCTGATATGGGACGATGCAACGAGTATAATTTGGTATGCATGTATATGCCACGGGAGATATGCACCCTTCCAGTGAAAAGTGGAAGCCACTTGAGCCTCCTGCAAAGGACCGACATGGACTCTCGAAAGACCACATGGCTTCCTCGAAACCACGTGGTGAACATGTCTAGTTCGGGTTCCATACTTACTCTGCAGGAAGTACTAGACACACAAAACACACACAGGGTAACGTATGCGAACCGCCCTCAAAGTCTGAAGAAACACTTCGGGGCGAAGCTACGAACGAGCTCGGGGAACGAAGTGTTCGTTGGATCAACTGACCCGTTGGGCAAACCTGGCCCGGCTGGGCCCCCACATGCTCAGGTGGCGTGCCACCCCCCCCCCCAAACCACCGACAGAGCCATCGAAACGGAGGCGGCGGCCGAGGTTGACGGAAGGTCTGGGTGCGGGTTAAGACGTTGGCCACTGGAGGTGGCCGAATCCGGGGGTGAGAACCAACGCGAGCGGGTAGTACGTCTGACAGAAAAACAGAAAAAACACAGCAACATCCAACCGTCACATCATGGCTGGAACCCTTCGTATTGGCCAGCTCTTCCACTCTGGCAGCCAGCGGCTGGTAGTTCCAAGGCTCCAGTAGCCCTGTGCCTTCCACATCCAAGCTCCGGATCACGTGGTTCAAGGAGTCCTCAGTGGAGAAAAACGAAGCTTCGAGCATTCGGAGTCGGATGCTGAATCCAAGCAGAGAGAGAGAGAGAGAGAGATGGATTTCTATATCCCATACACTCCATGGGACTGGCATAGGACTGCCGCCCCATTGACCACACACATACCCAAACTCTGGCAGTGTGACTGGCATGTTAACCTTCATTGGGGCGGTTGAAGAGAGGTCAAAAGTTTTCCCAAATGCTGCATGTATGGAACATCCACTCCTGAAAGCCAATGTAGGGAAACATATGCCAGTCCCCGGAAGCTGAAGAAATCCGAAGAAGCCTGGCGCTCCCTGCGCTCCCTGTGCGCCGAGCGTCTGCGATATACAAGCGACCTCCATCGAGTGCCAAGCCCCAGGGTGAGCTCAAACGAGTCTCCACACCAAACGTCTGGGCGTGGAGGGGCCCCCGTGGCGTGGAGTTCTTTCGTGTGGGGTGCGAAGCTGGAGAAAAAGGCCAAGAGTTGATGCAAGATTCTGAAACAAACACGTCTGCCAGCACCATGGATTCCGGGTGTCCATTAATAGCCCCTTGACCTCCAAGGGGTGTCCATTAACCACCCCGACTGGGGGTCCAGGTGTTAGTGTCTATTTACAAGGAACATGATGAAACACACCAGGCTTCAAGCGCGGTGTCCATCGTCATTGGTGAGTTTTCGGGAGAGGTCTGACAGGCTGACAAATCGTGTCTTGAGCTTCGGAGAAAGGCTCTGAAGGCCCCCAGCTAGGCTCGTCCCATGCATGTGGCTGTGCACCCGGGGCCAACGGTCCCGGTCGAGGGTCGTCGAATTCGGTTCATTGGCTGGAGTTTCTTCCGGTTTGGCTCCGGCCGGTGGGCCACATCATCGCCGCGAGAGACTTTGGGCGGACGACGGGTCCCGTTGTTCGGACGACGCGAAGTGTCTCGAGATGCCTGCGGGAGTCCTGCGGGTGCCACGAAATATGGATCGCGGGTCTTTTTAAAAGCCAGGCTTCCAGGACCTCCAGGTACCTTCTGAGAAGGTGTTTGGGGTGGGTTAGGAGGGTCTAAGTACCTTCTGAGGAGGTACTTGGAGGTGTAGGGAGGGGAACCTGGGGCTTTTCTCACCCACCATGAACAGAATAGTGATCAAACATGGTGCAAGGTGAGCCCAGTGGCTTCATCAAAGACTGGTCTCCTCTCCACTGGCCTGGATGAGTCTCCGATAGCTATTGCCACCAAATCCGCTGCGACCTGGCGTTTGGTGTGTTTGTTTTGTTGTCTTTTTGGGGGGGAGGAAGGGAGGGGGCCACCCATAAGCTGTGAACTGCTAGCAGTGAACTACGCCGAGCTGCGACGTGGCACCAGCCACCCTTGATCCCAAATTCTTGGGCTCCAGATTGTGACCCTTGGCCTTATGGAAGCTGGTTTGACAACAGGGTCACATTCACAACTGGCAAGTGGCCCTTGGCCTTTTTGCTTCCAAAAAAGGCCGCTTTCACGACTGGTCGTGAAGCAAAACTCCTTCATCCATGGACAACCTCTGGTCATGCCATGTGGTCTGCGCGGGTGATTACCCGGGTGATTACCCGACAGGTCTGCGCATGATCCAAACAGGTCTCCCCAAAGGAGTCCAACCTTTACGACATGCCAAAAATACCATGCTGTTGCATTGTTTTACTGAGGATTCGAGACTACACCATCAGGTCAACCTATCCAAAAAAAAACTGATGATTTGAAGTTTGAAGGCTAGGGAATATATGCCCAGATGTGCTCTTCCAAAACCTCACCAGGTCATGCTGCCCCACAAACGAACGTCCACGAGTATCCAGTATCCACTCATCTTTCACGGCTGCCGGCCTGTGCCGGCGACGGTCTGCCAAGGCGTCGCCAAGGACGGTACCAGTAGAGTCACAATCCATGGCCGCATGGGAAGGGAGGTGCCCGTGCGTCGCGCGTCTCGCCTAAGTCTCACACGGCTCAGTTGGCCTGGCTTTTGTTCGGCTCGGGGGGCGTTGTCTAGCAGGATGCGAAGAAACCGGACTGGCAGTGTTGGAAGCATTGATGAACACTTTCAGCTCTTCTTTGCAATCCGTTGCACCAACATGTATTCCTTTTGTCGAGGCTTAAGTAGGACGACTACGGTCAAAACTTTGTCAACACTCATTTCCAACATCATGTTGAGTGACACTGATAGGCCTTTCCATGGCCCAACTGAAACTTATTTGCATACCTATAAGCCTATAACCTATACCTTTACTTAGTGCCTTCCATGCAGTCTCACACATGCACATCGATCTTGACAATATTCTCGCCGGTGTCACATGACTCTTTGGCGCCATCTCCGCTGTCTGACAGCTGTCGCTTTCCAGCGCAAATGGTCCAAACATAAAGCGCAACTGGAGTGTGAGAGGCGCTGAATTTGGCTTCTGTCCTTGCATGTTCTTGTCAAGCAGTGATATATTTTGCCATGATGTTCCATGCAATTTGATTTGCAAAATCACCCCGCACACTCTCTCAGAGATACGAATTGAACACCGCCTGTGAGGCGAATTTGGGTTTGAAATCTACATTGTACATCAAGCTGCAGCTGCAACTAGAAGTAAGTACACCCCCAAAAAAGCGAGCCGCCCGCGAACAGTAGGAGATTTTCTTTTCTGTCTGTGAGAGTTACATACAGCTCTACGTCAGACTCTCCATCAGTTAGCTGGCATGAAACCCCGGTGATTCGGCACCGCGTCACGGTCCGATGCAGCGTCGGTCGTCGGTCCGGTGCTGCGGAGTCTGGTGCCCTGCGTCGGACTGGTGAGTCAAGACCTGCGCCCGCGGCGCAAACTCAAAGACAAACGACGATGTAGAGGTCAGTCTTCAACACTGAGTATACCAGGTTCACTCTCAAAACCATGAAAAAACATATGGTTTCACATACAAAACCCATGTTTTTTGCTAGGGAACACCTGGTTTTTGATGGTTTGTGCGGCCCCTGGTACATGGTTTTCTGGCGACCTCACGGACCGTTCGTCGCCGGGGCGTGACCCGAAGATGTTCAGGTACATGGAATAGATCTTGCTACATCTAATTTCCCAGGTACGAGCGGGTCGACTCCAGGTATGACGATCGTGAAGTATGGATGGATATGTAGATACTGTATACCCAGACGCTCCGTGAACGACGCTCGACTGGTCCCTCAAAACCGGGATTGGTTCGACCCGTTCGACCCCTCCAGAGGATTCGGGCGTCTGGGTCGCGTCTGGGTATATAGATATGGTATATTCCCATGGGTTCCATGGGTACGGTCGTGCCAACTCCGGAAAGATACACCTATACCAGGACCCTCCGACAGGTCACCAATAGAGACCTGTTAGGACCTAACAACCCTCAACTAACAGCCTGGCCAGGAGGGTGCTGGTAACCTGCCCTAGATATCCTATAGAAGTCCGAAGACTGTTCCTGAGCGAAGTAAAAAGACCATTCCAACAATCAGGTCCCCGTGCGCCAGAGCATTCTTTTGATCCGTCTTTGATTCCCAAAGGTGTAGCTACAATGTTCGCACCCCGAGAGATAGATGGTAGACTGATAGATGATATTTCACACCCAAATGAAGAGGTTCTGCCATGAAAATGGGGAGCTTTCATGAATCAACATTCTACACTAAGGGGGGTTCAGGGATGCTCAGGTCAACACACGCAACTCTTGGCCTTGTGCGTGACCCGCTTCTCGCCTGAGCAAAAAAAGAAACTTGAGACACTTCTGAACGCATCTTGATCAGGAAAGGGCAACACCTGGATTCATGTTGGATGAAAATAACTGGTGGCTTCCACACAAAGAAAGAAGAAAAAAGCGACCACCACACCCGGATTTGGACTCGGCCGGTTTCGGTCCTGGAACTCGGATGGAAGGAGAAGCTCAGTTTCGATGCACGGCCACGGCAACTCGTGCTGTATACTCCTGGATTCCATCCTCAGATTCAAATGCAGAACTTAAGCCTCTGCGAATACAAACCTTTTTTGTTTCAATATCCACCTTCCCGAACACTCCATGCACCGGAGTATTTGGCTACATTGACCCCAGGTCACATCCGGATAACCACCTCACCACTAGGTACAATGCCAGTCCCGCAGTGTCTGGGTGTAAACATGAATATCGATAGATCCCAGACACGACCCGTCTGGGACGACAAGCGTCCGGACTGCCTTCAAAACGGCCAGGGGTGCTTGGTTTTGGGGTTCAATGGGGCGGCAGTCCTATGGCAGTCCCATGGGTCGTGTATGGGGATGTATGACAGGATAGATCTATACCAATGGAGTCTCCATGCTCGCCGATCGGCGATCGTCCACCAAACACGAAGGAAAACAACACACCCAGAAGCAAACATCATCTGGAGGATATACCCCCCATAGAACTTTGAAACCAAAGACCACCAGTATATCCATGATCCTCTTTCATTTCTGCCGTGTCCTTGAGCTCTTCTCCAATGTCGGCAGGGCTGGGCTCCCCAACGCGCGCCGACTGGATGGTGCCCCTTGGCTGCGAACCTGGGGGCGTGAACGCACGGTCCGATACGGCTCCCCGTCGAAAGATGGCGGCCCTTGGCTTCTAAACTCGGTGGCGGTGGCGGAGTTTGAGGGGTTAAAGCCTGGTTGAACTATAGCTTCATGAGGAGGTGCTTGGAGCCCTTGGGACTAGACTAGAACAACATAGAACAACTAATGAGAGGGGAGGTTTGGACTGGACTACTTGGGACTAGATGGGGAGCAAGAACAATCTCCCTGCTCGATGTGGTTGTTTTGCTTGTGGTCCATCATTCTGAGGCACACCCAGTCACCCAGTTTCATCTACCAGGACCCTCCAACAGGTCACCACTTGCGACTTTTAAGTCTACAAAAGCCTCCAGAGGAGACCTGTTGGAGGGTGCTGGTACCTGTCCTGGATGTAGCGTTTCTATAGATGAAGATTCTCTTGTTGGAAGCTGAACATAGATTGACTATGATTGACAACCAAAACGACTCCATGTTCAGCTTTCACCCTTCAAAACGGTTGTTCTGTTCATTTCTTTCGACTCAAACGTGACCGAAAATGGACCTTTTGACGGAGGTCCTTCCCAGATGTCTCAGAGGAACAGCTTATAGAACCATATTAAAAGCACGCTGTTTTCTCAATGGGGCGGGAAGGACCGTCATGAGTTGGTTTGAAGGAAGCGAGATTGGGAGATGAATCAATGGCCAGGTACGGCCCAAAGACATGTAGAGTCAAGCTCTAATATTATTACACTCCCAGTCACTGAAAACATGGAAGTGGAGTTCACCCCTCTGGTATTCGGAACATATTCATCCAAGGGGCCCTGCCATCCACTTCCATGAATCTTATTATCTTGTAATTTGTTCCTTGGCCCTGGCTCAATATATGGCACAAGCTAGACCCTCCCAGCCCGGGAAGACAACTTGTCCCCCCCGTAGATCTCTGGCATTTGCTGGTTTTGTGCAACTTGTTTCTTCAAGGAAACTTTTGGTTTTGCCCCAACAAACCTAAGGGGGCCCGATCGCGAGAAACACTGTACACCCTAGTCCGTGGCTTTGTGACCATGGTGACCTTGTTGCTTCCCTCCCCGATCGCCAGCGATCGCAGCTGCCGTGCCTGGCGTCACTGGATCGGACTCTTCAAAGAGCATCTCACGGAACCTGACGACGGACGACGCGATGCTCCGCACGGTCGCCTCCGGTCGTCCGGCCGGAGGGGCAAAAGCGGTCAGACTGGGTGCAAAGCGATCTGACTCCAGTCCCTTCTGATGTGGATCTGAGGCTTTCTATACCATGGACCCTCCTGGCCAGGTGCTTGGTGGCAAGTTCGGTGCCCAGAAACCACCTCTTAGGGTCCCAAAACAGCCTGTCAGAGGGTCCTGGTATATATAGAACTGTTCTATACCAACTAAGTCCAGCCTTCATGCCCGGTCCCCGACCGAGCCCAGCACCGGTCGGTGGAGAAGAGCGTGCCCTGTGGGTTCAAGCCCAGCTTCACATTGGCTCCGTGCAGCCATTGCCTCGGTGAACCCGCCGCCACCGAGCTTCCAGGGCGGGTCAGGTGCGGTCGACTGGGGAGGTGACTGGGGAGGTGCCAGCTGAGTCCAAGGCCAGGAGTGTGGCAAGAGTTGGAGGAATCTAGAAGGTGAAAGAAAGGTCTTCTGTGCAAATACGGAGCAAACTCAGGAACAGAATCTACAATAGATTGACAAACGCTCCTTCGGCAACTCTTCCACGCTGGTTTGGGGTATTCACTAACAAGATTCCACACTTGTATCCACTTAAAAAGATCACTTGCATGTGTCTCTATGTGTCTCCACACTATTTCACTAACAGGTTCCAAGCTACACCCTTCATCTGGGGCCCTAGCACACAGCGTTCCAGCTTCCACTCCATCGAATCCAGAGCCTCGAACACCGCACCGGACATCGCGCTGCGGCAGGCGACCGCGCAACACGGTCACTGTTGCGGCCGGCCCCGGTATAATTTGTAGCGTACCCAATGCTCAGCATGCCAACCAACTATGACCCAGACACTCCATGTATGCAATATATGCCTACATTGACCCCCAAAACCACCCCAATGTAGGCATATATGGCAGTCCCATGGAGTGTCTGGGTGATGGGCTCCTAGCTGGCGCTTCGCCAGACTCTGCTGGCGCAAGATGACCGATGGGTCGGTCCCGCATCGTGCCCCCACGGTCCGTGCCTCTCGCTGAAAGACCTGCAGCTCTCGTTGGGTGACACCCTGGCGTGTGACTGGGCGTGGCCGGCCGATGGTCATAGATGTCATGTGGTGAAGTGCCGTAAGGAGTCTGAGTCTCTTTTGAAAAAACATTCCAACCCCAGACCCTCCATGGGACTGGCGCCGAACATATCACGACATTGGGGTGGTTGGAGGGATCTTTTGGGGGCGGCATATATTCCGGTGCCATGGATGGTCTGGGAATTGAATCAAGAGATATCAAGAGTATGCAAATACAAAGACCCTGACCTTGGCACAAGCCACATATAGGTCTTAATATGACTCAATGATGCCGTTCAAGCTGCACTCCTCATGCTTCGCCGTGAAAAACTCAAAAACAACCTGGTAACCTAAACTCCGGGGAGCAGTAGTTTTATAATGTTTCACTCACTATGTCCCACTTTCCTTCACCCGTTTCACCCTTCTTCGACCCCTCTTTCTTGCACCCCAACCCGCGACCCAACCCGCGGACCGACCCCCGACCGACGAAGCGTGGAACCCGAGCGGAGACCGCACCCGAACGACCCCCTCCAGCTCGTCCATCACCAAAGCCATCACCCGAGGCTGGGCGGTCAGAGCCTCCGCGAAAGAAAAGCGCTGCGGACCGGGTCGGTGGAACGGCACAGGTGGAACGGAACCGAGGACGGGCGCAGGTGCAGGTACCAACGGTTGAAGAAACCCTGACTATCCCAGTTGGGTGTGCCAGTTTAGGTCCTAGTTCAGGTCACTGGCTACTGGCTACCTCTGGTAGACCTCCGTCCGAAGGAGATGGGACTATAGACGTACATGTACTTCCAGTCCAAAGGCTCGGATGGGCCTTGCAAAACATCCGCTGAAGCGGATGGTTGGGGGAAGCCTTCGTGGCCTGACTGGTGCCTGGTGTTTTTGGATGAGTCATGTAGGTCATATATACGCCACCATGGATCCTCTGGGCGGATCGCAAAAACGGAGCGAAGGAAACCGAGTCTAAAGACACCCCAGCAAAAACCGTGTCGTGTGTCGTTCTCCGCGGAGTGAGTGAGTTCACCACCCTGTTTTGGTCTTCGGAATTTCATGATGCCATCCACTTGCATGATCGGTTCAGGAGAAGTTAACACGTTTAATCAAGTTCATGCAATATGCATCATTACATCAAGGAGAACATACAGAACTCCCGTGGACAACGTGGCTCTTTTTAAAAAAATAAACTTCACTCGCTTTCTACAGCTTTCAAGGCCTTTTTCAAGGCCTAAGTTCTCTGTTGAAGGGAAAGTCAAGTGCATTGGCATCGACAGAAATGGAAAACGGTTCAAGCTGATCATCAAAAGGGTTCTCCTCCCTGCAACTTCCGGTGCAAACCATTCTTCGCAATCCGCTCAGTCTATAGGTATCTAACATTTTGAGAGGTCTCGATAGGTTGAAACAAAACCATGGCACACTCCCCCCCCACTTCAAGAACAAACATCGGTACAAACCATGTAAAAACACATTGCATATATATCATAGCAACTTCCAGATCCACTATACATCTCCAGTCTCCTTATTCCCAATAAATGCAATAAAACACACATCATCTCCAGGTCTCCAGAGGCGAAACTGTGAACTGAGAGAGGGAACTGATCCGAACTCTCAGGAGGATCAGTAAAAGCTGGACCCGAAGCGCAGGGCCCCGTGAGGAAGGGACCGAAATGTTCTTCACGACGAGACCGGCCATCTTCGACCTGCAACTTCTGCTCGCACTTGCGCAAGGCATCCGTGAGATACTTCTTGAGGTTGTCCTGCATTCGCCGGTCGAGCCCATCACCCTCCCAGCCGGCCTCTCGGCTCCGCTGCCGGGCCTGGACCAGCTGTGCCTGTCTTTCGGGATGCTGTTGGGGACCGACATGTTGATTGTCCCTCGGTCCGGCGACTGTTGTTGTTGTGGTGGTGGTTCAATGAGATTTCCTGGCTGTTGATATGTCTTCCTTGAGGTTTCTGAGGTGTTTGGGGATGTTTGTTCATGGATGAGGTGGATGTTTGTTATATATAGGTTGTTGTGCTTTGTTGCGGGTGTTATTCGTGAGGTCAGGCTTCCAGATGCTTTGCTGAACATCCAGAGCAATTTACCCCAAACAAACTCCCATTTTCCCTGGCCATGCTCAATCTTTCAAAACGCATTTAGCACCTACCATTAGTGGGCAAACATACCCCCCATGCTCGGGAATTCACCCAGTTCGGAAACATACGAAAAATAACACACAGGTTAGCTGGCTCGATGTCGGTTAGTACTTTGGCTAGTATATTTTGGTCATGTCATGAGCCGATTTCCATAAGCATTTGCATTTGAATGGGGGATCCCCCCTCGCCTTGGCTGGGTAGAGTCCTATTCACTCCGAACCCATGTGGGGTCGGGACCGATCCTTCGAAGGCGTCATATGACATATACTTGATGCCAACAAAGACCTTTCGACTTCTAGCGGTCATGTGTATATCCCTAAGAACCCGGGCTGAACACATAGGGTTGGGTTCGGGTCCGGACCCTTGCGAGGGTCCGACTTCTGTGATGGAGGGCCCAAGGATTCTTAGGGATACGACATCTGCTGCGGTTTCCGTAAAAACTCATCATATCATCACACCAGGACCATCCTTACGGGGTGTCCTGGCTGGACTACCCCACACTACCTATAGGCTTCCAGACAGGGCACCCCGTAAGGATGGTCCAGGCATGTATATCAATCACGGACGGGATCTTGACCCCAACTCGCAACCTTTTCTTTCAGACCTCCGATCGCCCTTCGCCAGCTGGCCAGCTTCGACGGCGGAGTGTCCAGGCGGTTTAAAAGAACTTTGATGACAAGGCGAAACACGAGGAGTGTTTAAAACCGGTGAAACCATGCTCAACAGGCCTTAGCCGCTTCGAGCCTCGCGCGCAGCATCTCCGGGCACTTGCGCTCCGTACAGCTCCGGCTGCGCAAACAATCTCTGCGCCAGCTGTGGATATCTCCGGAACATCCGAGCTGCGAACATCCGAGCATCGAATCTCTCCTCGCCATGAAACATACTGCAGAGGAGTACTAGAAGACCTGCAAAACCAGGTCCACTGCAAATCAAAGCTGCACCAAGCATGTGCAGGGAGCATTTTTTCTGGTATTCCATCGAGAAGGAACCCGCCCCACGGGATTGGCAGTGCGACGGCTCGGAGTTGGGCGAGTCCAAATGGTCCAAAGGCAGGAATGTCCATAGCATCCACCCAAGCAAACCGATGACACACCAAGAGCCAAAAACACATAGTGTCACTTTGAACAAGCAATCTAACCTATACTCACAACAGCACTTGGCCTCACATCGAGCTGTAACATCATAGAATTTTGATGGATAGTCAAGCTTTGTGGGCTGGGCACCTGCCTCCAAGAGCAAACGCACGCCTCCTGCAGACATGGCCTCGAAGGCCTCTTGAAGGGGTGAGCTACCATCGGTGACAAGGTTTGGATCGGCTCTGGCCTCTAGTAGCAAGCGAACGGTCTCCAAACGGCACTCACTGCTTAATGCTGCCAGGAGGGCATGGTCCCCATTAGCGCATTGCAGGTTTGGATCAGCTCTGGCCTCTAGTAGCAAACGCACGGTCTCCATACCAGACTCACTGCTCGATGCTGCCAGGAGTGCATAGTCCCCAAGAGCGTTTTGCAGGTTTGGATTTGCTCTGGCCTCTAGTAGCAGGCGCACGGTCTCCATACCAGACTCATTTCTCAATGCTGCCAGGAGGGCGTAGTCCCCATCAGCACGTTGCAGGTTTGGATCATACGGTTGTTGCAACATCATCTCCAGATCGACGATGCGTCCTCTCCGGGATGATTCGATTAACATCTCCACATCTTCTCGCGACGCCTCAACAAAGGGAGCAACCACCAGCTGCACAGTATCAAACCCAACAGGTGTGAGTGTGACATGATCCTCCAAAAGTGCGCCTCCTTGCAGAAGCCTTTGGTGAAATCTGCTCACCCCAAGACGCTGGTCCAGCACTTTCTTGAGGTGCTTTACGTCATGGAGTTCTTCTGCATCTAAGGCAGCAAGCTCCTCCCCTGCGAGATTGCACACATACAACATGTAACGAGCGCCCAGACCCCCTCTCAGCGCGTTGAGGGCATGAGCATGCCAGGCAGGACACGAGCATCAGACGGCTCTAGCTGCTCAGTCGGACGGCTTGAGCTGCTCCGCCATGAGACACCAGGTGAGTGATCATGGGATCTCATATGGGTGATTTTTTTTTTTGACGGATCGCATGGCTCTTTGGAAAGCCGTAGACATCTCTGACCATGGCTTAAGAGCAGTTGAAGATTTAATTTATATAGGTAAACGATAAACGTGATTATAACATATTATAACATGAACAGAAATCCATCGGTGGCAAACGCCCATATCTTTGGATATCCTTTTAACATCTTGGGGTCAAATGAACGGAGATACGATGACATCCTGCCATAACAATCTTACCTCAACAATCTTACCCTCATCCAAGAAAAACATCAACAGAGTGAATTTTAGCAAACATTCACCAGAAACTACCATTCGGAGAAACAGAAAACATCAACAGCGATGATGGACACCAATGGAAAACAACTTTTGAACAGCAACAAACAAGTTTTAACACCATAACCTATATCTTACAACCAACAGTTACCAACACACACACACCAAAAAAAAACACATAACCAATTAATAACAATTAAGCATATAGAAAAAAACACAACACATAAACCACCCTTCAAGCCAAACAACCTTCGACCCCCCCCCCAAAAAACTTCCGTGACATCCCCAAGGACCGTGACAACGACCGTGAAACACGTTTCCCGGTGGATCGCTGGATCCTTCTGCTCGGCAAAGTCGGTGGTGACCTTCGAGACTTTGCTCTGAAAGATCTCCGAGACCTTCGCCGACGTCCGGTCCGGTCCCGCGCTGGCGCGCCGACGTGCACCCCCCGAGCGGCGGTCCCCAGGGCGAAGGCGAAGGCGACCGCCCGGAAGCCCCGAGCGGATGCACGGATCCCTATTCAGAAGGTATGACTGGGCCAGACAGTGGGCGCCCTACATACTCTCCAATCACCTTCTCAGAAGGTGGAAGTGGATCCATTGGGTTCTGTTAGAAGGTATGACTGGACCCGACAATGGCAACGACGCGGAACGTGGTCATGTTTGAAATGCGTGTTCGCAAAAACGAAGAACTCCTTATAGACTTCCAAGACCGGAAAAAAGGGGCACGACCTGGTTTTGGATGAAGTAAAATCCTTACATGGTCGGATGAGGGATGACTGATCAGTTTATGTTCCATGAATGGGCCTGGAATCCCTATAGGGAGGCTTGTCTCAATAGGCTGCCTTAAGAAAAGGCTCAACATCAGAAGATCTCAACCTAGCACTTCCTCTCCGGGTGCCCTGTTCTGGAGACCTGTTTACGATAGGGTAAGCTAGCCAGGACAGCCATACAGGATGACCCTGGAATACATCTGAAACCACCACCCAAATGGCGCTGTCTCATATGATATCTCCCAAACACTCCATATATATGGCATATATTTACCTATACCTGAGGGTGGTTGACCTGGGGTCAATGTAGATCGGCAGTCCAGACTGCCAGTCCCAGACAGGGTCGCCGTCCGCGCGGGCGCTCCGTCCACGCGCGCCGCGCCTCCTGCAAAGCGGTCGACAAGGTCTCCTCGAGGTCCAACGGATCGGTCCGGAACCGAAATCGGTCGGTCTGAGGAGCAGCCGAAGCACATGGAGCAGATCGGGAGGATCCACCAGATCCAGTTCCAAAAGCAGTTCCAAGTGAAGGAGTTCTTTCCATGATTTGGAATTCGTAAGTTCTGAAGGGATGCTCGCTGCATCCTGAGAGCCTCCAAGATCAGGGCGCCGCGACTTTGGTGGGTCATGTCACAGTTTACCAAACTGATGAGGATCAGCACCTCCCAAGAAAGTCTGAAGAGATCTCCTGACGTTTCATCTGCTCATCGAGGTTGGCTCGCAGATCTTGCGCTTCCTGGAAAGGACAAAAATTCGGCCCGGGGACGCTTAAAACAAGGAAACCAGGAGTTCCAAAATGTATAGTCTATTGATGATGGAGTGTTTATATTCTACCCTTTGGGGAATCCACACAAGCACTCCCTGGCCCTAAAATAGGTAATGTCTGCCCATATGATGAGTCCAGGGTCACCATACGCCATGATATAGTCGTGATGTGGGACTCTTCCAGCACAAAGTTCAGCTGCACCCATTCACCACATGAATTCGATCCCCGGATGCGTCAGGCCGCCCGGATCGCCACACCGGTCCAAACGACGCGACGCGCGTGGCGTTGCGTGGATTACGCGGCGTTGATTTAGTGACGAGGCCTTCTCGTGCACCACGAGCCATTCTCTCACACGATGTTCACAAGCACTTGCTTCAGCATGGCTTGCCTCAAGAACAAACGTTAGCTGCCCAAAAAAACGGACAACGGATTCAACGGATCAAACAAAAGTTTCACAACATGTTCATGGACACGGTTTTTGCCCCCCCAACTGGCCATGTACCAGGGAATGTCCAAGGACACGCAATTGGATGCTCCATCCACACGCGTGCGGTCCGAATATGAGCGAAAATGAGTGTGAATCATCGGAAGCGCACTTGACTGGTCGTTCCCACCCGGTGGCATCCGTTTGGGCCTCCGTTGGGTCGGTACCGAAGCGTTTCGGTTCGGACGACCTGTTCCCCATGTGACGGGTCCAGGACCCGGTTCGGCCTGCAGGTGTCGTTGACCTTCCTCCTGGATGAACACTCGCACTGATCGCAGCTCTTCATGCGCAGCGTCGCTGCGTGCCTGCCAGATGTTCGTGATGTGAATGCCCACAACCAGACACATGGCCTATCTTTCAGGCAGTGTTTGTCCAAGGTGTTTTTCAGTCTCCAGCCAAGCACTACCCAAAACCAACTCATTGAATTCATACTGTGCATGTCGATATTAGCTAACAATGATCCATTCTGCCTTGCCTAACGCCTCAACCAGCGCCACTGGCGCATCCTTTTCGCACGGCCCATCACTGATTCGGACGCCTTCAGCTCGGCCGAGCGTTGCTCCAGCAGATCCCGGCTGCGCATCACCGCGTTCTCCGCGGAGTGCAGCGCCAAAGTCTTCACTTCAGCCACGCCTGGGGAGAGTTGTTGTTTTTTGGTGTGTTTTTCGTCTGTTATGGGAGGGGGTAGGGGGTAGGTGGGGGGAGTTGAAGCATCCGGCTGAAATGTTGGAAAACGCATGGGCAGATTTAAGAATTGGATCCTTTTGGATCCATTTGGAACACATTGCAATGGGGGAACCCTCCAGGTGTCAGACGTGATTCGTCATCATGTGGAGAGGATGTCAGCGGTGACTGATGCGGTGTTCAACTCTTTCAAGGACTGAGTGGATCACCTGCCTGAGTGGATCGAAAGCTCGGACATCTAGGAACTTCACCGGCCTCCAGTCGTACCTCCGAAGGTATATTTAGACCCTCCAAACTCATGACGGGAGGCCAAACGGGTCATGGAACTTCAGTTGTTCGAAACAATGCAAAATGCTGAATGGACCATGGACTCAGTGTACAAATCCGGCGCCAGCTCCAGACAGCTACCGCCCGGCACTAAGGAAAGGCCCAAAACGCGCCACATGATTTCCCCCCCCCGCCCGCACGCCCTCATCGAACTCACTCGCCCCAACAAACTCTCTCTCCGTCCCACGTTTGTTTCTGTTGCACCCAGCCGGACATCAAACCGTTTGACCCTCTCTCCGACAGAACCTCCTCCTCTCCGACAGAACGCCGATGACAGCCTCGGTTTCGCCTCGCCTTCGGAGCTCTGCGTGGCCACCAGGGAGACGCGTTCCAGGCGCGCGTCCACGTGTCGCAGGGACTCCTCCAGTTGCCTCTCCCGCCGCAAAAGCGGAGGTCGGAGGCGTCAGCGGTTCCCCGCTGTTTGGGGGTTGAAACAGGGGCCGGCCGCCCTGATTTGGGGCTCCAAACAACATCAAACAACCGGATCTGGTCTCTCAAAAACCCAACCCAAGAGGTTAAGTGACCTTACAGGACCCTTATGTACCCATGGGATTATGGGATTGTCTGGATCCTTCAACCTCTGTTGCTTTTGAGGGTCCAAACCCCTCCATATGACGGTCCGGCTCCTACGTCCGGGGTCCGGCCGGTCACGACACGGACGGGACGTGGCAGGCGTTTGCCCACGTGGTAAGCAGAAGTTGGGTGTGTTTTCCAAGACCCAAAGGCTCCGTGTATACAAAGATGGGCCTACACCACTGGTGGTTTTGGGTGGTGAATGTAGGCCACATTAGCTTATACATGTTATATGGAGTGTTTGGGAATAGCATCCTGACTGGGCTGGGTGGTGCTTCTGCCAAGATCGAGAGTGGGTTTGCTGTTGAACTTCTTCAAGCTCCAGATTGATCGAAAGTTACGACAGAAGAGTCAGTCGGAATGAAAACGTATATCGCAAGATGTTCATGGGACTGCCATCTTGGCCAATGGGGTCTTTCAAGGGTCGAGATCTTTGACCAGGGGTCGAGATCATGGACCCCCAAAACCACTGGGTTGTAAAGGAACCCTCGTGTTCCAAGACTATGTTTAAAGTGGTTGAGCTGTTTTCGTGGTGTATATCATGGTTCCTTGGTGGAGACAATTCCATCAATGGTGGTTGGACGCCTAGGTGAAAATATGGGAAAATGGTCCTCCACAGCATACTTCTCCGGAGTAACAGACTGACGGACAGTGTCGGTCTGACCTCGTTGACTCGGCCCGCGCCTCTCCATAGACTGACACTTCTCCAAGTCTTGCAGAAGTCCTTTCAGAAAGAATCACCGTAGTCTTCCAAATGCATATCATGCATATAAACCAAAGAGAACTGATGCCACATGCGCTTCAGTCCAGCAATACGTATTTGGTTCACTGTGCAAAAAATATGCAAAAATACATTGATTACTAAACTCTATTACTCTATGACTGACAATAGATTCTATAAATGGTGCTGATGCACCTACCATTGACCACCATACCCTACCTACCCTATCTCTTCCAAGTCATCAATCGCCAGACAAAACGACCGAGACAGCCGGGGCCAGGAGCACGAAGAAACCAAACAAACCGGCGGGTGGTCGTGTTTTGATGTATTCCCAGACGATCCATCATGTGGAATTTAGCCATTGACCCCTCCAACCACCTGTAGACTTGTAGACCCCCATACATGGATGGTTTGGGTTTTGACCTCTAGGGGTCTGCCTTTCCCTTTTTTTGGGGGGGTCCATTGTTCGAAGCATCCTGATATCTCCTGATCCAAGGTTCTGGTCTGACCTCTTGTTCGATTGATCCCAAAACTCGACTCGACTGGGGTGTCTATTTACGCCTCAAAAAGGTGTGAGTCGGGGTGTCCCAAAAGCGACGAACGGAAGGTGCTGGTACTTCTATCATCAGAGATTATATTCATCCAAATGTTTGGCAGAGTCCATTTCATTCCAATGATGGTGTCCTTTCTTTCAACACGAGCGCAGAAAATGGTCAGGTGGTCCATTCTTTCAACATAAACCTGCTCCTGAGCTACCAAGAGCACATCGGCATGCTACAGCCCCACATCTTTGCGGAGGCAAATTCGGTGTCTGCATTTGGATCTGCAGATCTTAGCGTCATGCGCGCCGCCAAATCTATGCTGCTTGCGGCGACACAAGGACTCCATCCTTGTCGTTGAAAGTTCAAAATTTGTGAATTATGCCACCATGTTCAGCTCAGTCGACTTAAACAGCATCGGATGTGTCACTTGATTCAGAGACCTTGGTCTGAGGGTACTTCTTCACAGGGCTGTGGTAGGTCTCGCCGTGGGTGTGCTGGTCAACACCCTCAATCTCTTGCTCTTCGGGGATTCTCACCCTCATGACCAAGCGCAGCGCCACCACGATGATGGCCTCAGCGTGTGCAACGGACCGACCGGCGAAGCATTCCGGACTTCTCTCACAGTGCAGAAGTGCTTTCAGAATAGATGGCACAAACATGCACAAACCTAATGTCATGTCTTTTGTCATGGGGATAAGCACCAAACTGGGGGAGTGTGCCATCATGTGCCATCTACTCTGAAAGCACATATTAATTTGTTCCCCCTCTTGGAGGGATTTGGATTCCAGTGAAGAACCTGGCAGTGGACAGCCAGTGAGCACTTGTCGACTTAGATGGGTCTGGGTAGGGTTTCCCATTGTGCCATTGCCAGCCGTCTACTTTTTCGCCCGAACACCAGTGCCAGCGACGCGAAACCTGCGGAAACCTGCCAGATCCCAAGTCTCATACGATATAGGGCGTGTCAAACCAAATCGTCCCAACCACGGTGGATTACATAGAGATCCGGTGAGTTGGGACGCTTGGAGCGCGGTGGCGCGGTGGACTACGTAGAGGCCCTGCGGATCCACGCCAAGGAGGGCTCTTAATGATCCATTTGCATTGCATCTCTGCATGTTTGGCTCTATTAGTAGAATCATGTATAAGCCAGGAGGCCTGTTCCTTTGACCTCACAACATGCATGTATAGAACTTAATTTGTAGGGTTCTGATTGGTCACAGAGTTGACCGCAAGAACTGGCAAGCTTGCCTCCGAGTCGAACGCCCCGCGAGTCATCAGCCGAACAGTAACACCGGGTGGCAGTACCGATGGCGGAGAAGGCCACACCGGCCATGGCACCGGCGATCTGCTTGCCCAACAATTCAAAGTTTCCTTGGATGTTCTTTCGGGTGGGATGGGCGGGCTGTGTCGCGTTCCATGTCGCGTTCCCAGGAAGAAGCTCGATCGCCGTTGCACACAAACATCGAAGACGATGGACGATGGACGAGTCCGAAGCATTCAGGCAGGGTTCAGGACTGGTCGCAGGTTCAGGACGGGTCGGACCCTTTGGGATGTGTTTTGGTTGAAATGTTGCTCCACTTCCGAAGACCGTCTGGAAAAGTCTGTTCCTCGAACTGAGGAGAAAAACTCCACCTATAGTTCATGTTTCCTGGGGAAACGAAACTCAAATACCATCCCATCTATAGGTGACCAGGACGGACTCAAACCCAAGTCCCACCACAAACTCGGACTGGAAGAACACACCTCTAGGTTCGGATGGATCAACTCTACAATCGCCACAACAAGACCAGGACCCTCCGACCCTCGGGGTGCCCTGTCTGGAAGCCATCCTGGGATCCGTGTGGAGTAGTCCAGCCAGGACACCCCGAGCATCGGGTCGGAGGGTCCTGGGAGGTAGTCTGTTTTAATGTTTCACAAAACAGACATACCCAGACGCTCCAAACAGCTCTTGGTCCCTCAAAACCCTAGGGATTTGAGACCCCAGACCCCTCCATATGAGGGCCCATGAGCGTCTGGGTATTCCAATATATTCCACTATCCAATCCCTACCACAACAAGAACTCTGGGTGTTGTTCAGCTCCTCGAGAACCAGTTGTTCAGTATCTTTACCAACCCACAAAGAAAAAACCTCACACATCCTAACACCATTCGAGAGAACACTTCGGAATCTGATTTCACAGCATCGACTCGCCCCCCCTTTTTGATCTACGCCGGAAAAAAAACATAACAAACAACCAGGAGTCACAAAGGGGTGCCGAACTTGGAGGTTTAGGGGTGCCCAGCTACTCCACTCACTTAGGGACCAAACACCACCCCTTTGTGACCCCTGGAACTTCCACTTACAATACCTCCGAGCTGTTGGTTCTCGATGTTCGTCTTCTTCGAATGACACCGAGTCTCCGGTGTAGATGAGGCCACCATCCAAGGCAAAGATTCCCGTCAAGATGGCCCCACCAATGCCGCCCATGCCATGCAAGCCTCGGCTCCGGTCCCAACACGGTGAAGCTCTGCAGCTCGCGGGGCTCGGTGGTCTTTGGACGAGGAGACTTCATGTGGCGGGTGGCAGAGTTCGGGTGCTGTTTTTTTTGGATTTGCTTTTCCAGTCAGAGAACTTCTCGCTTCTGCAGCGTGTGAACGAACTTTGGAGTCGAATCACCATTTGATAATCAAGTGACGGCGACCCATCAGTACAGTGACCCTCAGAACCAGGTCACCATCTGCCACTTGGAAAGTTATGGCGCCATTTTCGGACACCTTTCGAGCTCGTGAAGGGTGCCTGACCCTCAGGTACCATAAAACATGTCCAGTTCGCTCACCGGATCGGAAAAACCTTAAGGGTCCAGGAGCATCCGAATCGGATGGTCTTGGAGGTGAGTTCGTTCCTGAGAATGGTCGAACTGGGGCCTAAGTGACATCCGATTCGGATGGTCCTGGACCCGGAAACAGAACACGCCCCAGCGGCCGAAGGCATCCAGCGTGTCATCGACCAAGTTCACGCGATTCACCACCTCCACGGAGACGTAGCACCAGACCTGGGAGATGTCTGCGCAGGGAAATCGCGCGGTCCGGATTTTTGCTCCGGTCCCAACGCGGAAAAGCACAAACACACATTTAATATGTTCAATATTCCCCTATGCCAGGGGTTCATCCACTTTGGGAAGAAAACATCATCGAATCATCGATGTGCACTTCCTTTGCTGTTGCCCTTTTTTTCTCTGTGCCAGTCGCCTGGACATTCACCCAGTTCCATGAAATGGACCTCAAAAGCGCTCTGGACACCAAGACACTGCGCCCAAGGCCCCAATCACGATGCTCCAGCCGGGTGTCACGAAGCCGGCGCCCGGGGTGATGCACACGAGTCCGGCCACCGCGCCGACGGAGGCGCCCACACTGCTGGATTTGCCTCCACCAACGCTGGGAAGCCACCGGGCGGGCGGGCGGGCTGGAGGATGCTTCACCGGGCAGTCGGATTGGTCCTGAAAAACCTCTGGAAGGTGTGCACGACGTGGCACGATCCCTTTTTGTTGAGGATAAGGACATCGATCCCAAAAAAACTAGAGTGAGGATGGAACTTGGCAGCAAGAGAAAGAACGCTAGCCGCTTATAAAAACAAGTTAACAACGACTGCTAAAAAAATAAATAAATATTCTCCCGCACAGGTCTCCTGCAAAGCGTTTTCTTTTTTGGTGAACCCACAGCTGCCGGGTGGTGATGGGTGCATGGTGATGGATGCTGCTAGTCGGAGATCTCACTTGGGATTGTATGCTTTCGGAGAGTGAGGCTTTCATACTATGTTTTGTCAAAGAGGGACTGCTTAGATATAGGATCTATCTGCATCTAGCTCTACCAATCCATCTAGAAGATTCTGGGAGCAGCATCTGCCAAAGGTGGTGGAAGGTTCGTCCAGTTTTCGTGGATGCGCTGGACCAGTTGGAACATGGAACAAATAGTTCCCAAACATCCTATCCCGTCCACAGCTTCTACAGTGGGCCATCAGAGTAGATGGCACTGGCATGTATTGGGATCCATATGGAACCACCGACATTGGGGATTGCGCCCATCTCTGTTGAAACAACTATAAAACTCCAGGCCTTTGAGAAGACGTTCAAGCATCAGCCAGCTGAGCATGGAGGAGGCGGCTGCCACGAACGTGGTGGCCACCGCACGTGCTGCCACGCCGTCGCTCACGGACAAGGCGGAGCCACCATTAAAGCCCAACCAGCCAAACCAAAGGAGGCTGCCTGAGATGGAGTTTGAAGAAGGATGGGATAGGATGATAGGATTGGTGTGTCTGAACAACAAAGACATCCAACAAAAAAGCAAACTTACAACCATTATCAACCATCGATATACAAAACAATATTATCAACTATCAACTATCTTACAACAAACAAACCAAACTTACAACCATGGACCATTATCAACTATCGATACAACACGGATACGGTACTGTCTTACAATAACCATCGAAACCTCTGGGCTTGGCCGCCGAACTCTTCACCGAACTTGTGAGTCATCTAAGCCAACAGGGCTTGGACTACAGCTGGCACTACAGCTGGGTACAGGCCGCATAGGCCCTGGGAAATCAAAGACCCCTTAAGCAATAAAGGAGACTATGCCAAAAAACAGGTGCTCCCTGCTCTCCAGCAGTTTTTGGGTTCGATATTCATGCATGATTCTATGAGTTTGGTCTTTCGATTTATCCTTAGTGCAACGGGTTGTTCAAAGTCCGTAAGAGTCTGTCAGAGTGTGTGAAAGCTCCAAAAAGACCCAACACCCACGAGGGCGCCGCAACATATTGCGTCACCATCCTCTCACTAAGCACCCACAAAAATATCAGGACCATGAGGTTTCCCTTTAAAAGAAAGCACACACAATATTACAACAAAAACCCAAACACTCCGGCACCAGATGTATATTGGCGCCTGAAACCACACCAATGTAGGTATAACTATGGTTTTTAATGTAACTATTGATTGCCATACATGGAGTGTCTGGGTCTAAGGGAACTGCACCTCCTGTCTCCTCAGCCGCTTCTTCATCCGGGTCGCCACCCAAGATCACGAAGGGCGCGTTGGCCGGGCCCAGCTCCTTCTCCACATGGCGTCGCGGTCCCACGATGGCGCCAGCCACCAAACCCGAGACACCGGAGCTGATGTGAACCTCAACGTCTTTCGAATTCAGTGAAAGCCTCTGAGAAGCTGAGGACTCTTTGATGTTGATCTTGGACCAACGGACTTCAACAGCTGGGCGGGTTTGCAGCTCGGCTCAGGGTTTGCTGACCCGTTTGGCCGAAAACCGTTGTCGTACCGGGTGGGTGGGTGCCAAAACGTCGGGTCCAATCATACCGAACCTGAGAAGGTGAGGACTCTTGATGTTGGCGGTCTTGGAGGCTCCAAGTGGAATGTATGTGGATCCCTTAAAGGACTTAGATGTGGGACACCCTCAAAAAACCCGGCTCCAACTGCAGGGTAAAGGCCGTGACCCAAAAGCGAAGCGAAGGCGACGGCCTACAGTGCTCAGAAAACCGAGGGTCTGTAGACAGGTTGGGCGAAAACATTGACCATCTTGAGTATAAATACCTCTCCCTATTAATCAAGCCCACCCTCTGGCCTCCATCTTGTTTTCCATCTCTTTCATCCTGCAATCCTCTTTCTTTTCCTAATCATCCCAATCAAAGAAAGAATCGTGTCTTCCAATCTCGTTCATCTCTTTCCTAATCATCCCAATCCCAATCCTTCCCAGGCTTGTCATCATCTCATCATCCATCATCAGGTCATCACCTTTATTGAGGTGATGTGGTCTCCAATCCCTCCAATCTCAAACCTTGTTGACCTTGAACGGTGGGGTTGATGAATCCTACCTCGACATTAATCCTAAGCAATCCTAAATAATCCCAACCATAACATATGCAACATAATATCCTTCAAATCATGATGTTTTGGCAGGACATCCACATGAAAAGAAACCACGCTAAACCACTCCATGTCTTCGACTCACCCCACCCCCCTCACGTCCTTCCGCCGAGCTGCCACGGTACCGCCCGCGAAGTCCAAAGCGCCCATCTCGGCGATCCAGCCGTTGGGGCCCCAAACCCAGTGGCAGAGCGGGGCGTAGATCAGCAGGGACCACAAGGCCAACATGATGGAGTAAGCGCCTAGCATTGGCAGCTAGTAGCAGCTAGTATCTTAGGCTGGGACGAGACGAGACTCAGCTATAAGTATAAGGAGTTCAATAAGTCGACGGATAGACAAGGAGGAAGCAGGCAGCGGTGCGTTTTTAGGCTATATTAAAAGTGGGTGCCTTAAAGCGCTACGCGGTACCCAAGCTTGAAAGCTTGGTTTTTGGTGAGTCTTGCTTAGGCAACAACATTGGCCGGTGGGTTGGATGAGGATTCGACATCTGAGGGTCAACATCCAGGTGGGCAGCGGTCAACGTCGGATGGTTGTCGCCTATGACTGGAGTTGTCGCACTGGAGTTGACCAGGGTGTTCGGCGCCGGACGTTTGATTCTTATTCTCGGTATGCAGACGTTTTGGCGGGATGCTCGGCGTTCTGCGATGAAGAAGCGGGTTGCAGGGTGGAAGAATGTGGAAGGTGTCACATGATGTTGGAGGGTTGGATTGCTGGATTGGGATGGGTTGAACTTGGACTTGCTTTTGGGTTATATATCTTTTTTGATAAGTCTGTCTTGCATAGATTTGTGCAAACATGGGTAACATGGGCGTGATTAAATAAAGAACATCAAGCCTGGAATGGATCCACAACATCCACATATAATTACATGCCACCAATTGGATTTGTTCCACATATAATTACATGCCACCAAGTGGATTTGTTTGAAATCAGCTTCAGTATCCCTCAAACAAGGCAAACGGCCGGTGGAACCCAGTGGATCTCAGCTTCAGTACACCCTTGGCACTCCCCCTTCTGTCTTCCTGTCTTCGATGTTATATCCATCAGCCAATGACCCGCATTGACTTGGAGGTACAAGTTACCGCTTTCGTGGTTCTTGCATCCCTTGCTCGCACCACCCATTCAACATTTAAGAGCCACAACAGGCTGCACAAGTTCAACGTTGATGTGCCAGGAGTCACAAAGGTATACTGGTCTTTAGTCTCTAAGCGAGTGGAGAGCGGCTTTGGATAGGGGGCACCCCTATATCCTCCAAGTTCGGCACCCCTTTGTGACTACTCCTGGTCTTCTTGAGCCGGAGGTTTTGTAAAACGTGTACGTTCTTTCCATCGCCCCAAACCTAAGGTGCATCTTAACCGGTGTTCTGTTTTTGAAGATCGATCCCCTGTCGACCAGTAGTGGGCGGGCAACTCCCGCCCTGTCCAGCCCAGGACACCCAAACAGGATGGTCCTGGTACAGGGATTTCTATACCTTCCCCCATCTTTCTCTCCCAAACATTCTCCCTGGAACTAGCATTATTGACCTTACATGGACCCCTGAAATCCACCCAAACCGGCCAAAAACCTCTGAAACGTACGTCTGAAGCGGAACCTCGCGCCGTACGTCGCCGTCATCGGCGGAACGCGACGTTGCCAAGGAGCTGAAGCGCATGCGCTCCACCAACGAGCCGGAGATGATCGCCGAGGCAATGATGGCAAAGGTCATCTGGAAGGCTGCGAAGCACAGACCTGGCGGTCTGGGTGTTTTCTGCCGCCGGTGTGGTACCCCAAGTGTGTGTGCTGCGCCAAGTGGCGCCAAGCATGTGTTCTTCAGAGATATCCAAACACAAAACTGGATAGGCCTACATTGACCACCCCAATGCAGGCAAATATGGCAGTGGAACTGGATAGGAAGCGGAGACACGACATGCCAAGTTATATGACAATGGCCACATCGGAAGTGGATGGCATGGCTCCCTTGTAAGTCCTTTTCGGAAGAAAAGAGGCCGTGAACTCCACGTCCGTTTTTTTTCCCGTGTGTTCTTCGTTGGAGAGGCAAGCTCTACCCTACCCATATATCACTGTATGCTATATATGCCCACATTGACCCCCACCCTTTTCAACCAGCTCAATGTAGTTACAGTAGATGCCACTCCACAGGTCGGTCGTGTCTGCGTGGTCGGTCGGTCGTGCAGTTCATGACCGCCAAGCTGTTCGAGCCAGGTGAAGGATCGGAGGTCGGATGTTTTGGACCCGGGGTCATGAATTCCGTGGTGGACTCTTGTGGGGGTTTTGTGGTGGTGGGAGGATGTTGGAGCCCGCTCATATGGGGGATGAGAATCAGCATGAATCATTAATATAGTACCCTAAGAATCATTGGACCCTCCTATGGAGGGTTTGGACCCTGCATAGCAGGGGTTTGGACCCTCAAAACCTTCTTAGGGTAATGAAATGTCATTATTACGACAACATTCCCATCATTTTCGCAGCAGACTCTTCAAGTCCTAGGCATCTCTATAAGCAGAACCTTGGAAGCCGCCCAACCAAATCGTTGTAATCCAGTATCACTAACCCCATCCACATGAAGCCCAGTGTGAAAAACATGGAAGAACCACCCAAAAAACAAGACAAAAAAACGATGACGGACACATCGGGCCCGTCATTGTTCCTTTCCTTCGGCTCGGCCTGGCAGTCCGGAGTCGCCCCACATCTTCATGTCCAGATTCATCCAGAAGCTGTACTCAAAGTTCCCCACAAACATCCCGAAGCCACCGCCGTTGTCTCCAAAGGCCCAGGAGAATCCGAAGACGACCCAGGTCAAGCAAACGATGGCCATGGAGGCCACTGACATCATCATCGTGTTGATGACATTGGTGTCGCGCACCAAACCTGACCGGCTGAGTTAAGAGGAACGCAGCGCTTGCTGAACGGAGCCGGCTGAGAGTTAATCCGTGGAGACCACCACCTATAGGTACTGCACCGATAGGTACACCGAAGGAGCAAAGACCGAAGACTTAACAAATCTGACAGAACACCGAGACTTGCTCTTTGCGTAGATCCGCTCAAAATTCCAACGAAACTCATCTCACCGGAATATCACCTTAAGACCAGACCTGCCTCCATAGAAGAAGCCAAGACCTGCTGTCATCAGGAAGACCAGAGCTGCAGAGGTCAAGACCCATGCAACTGCGCCGGTGTTGACAGCATCGTCGGTCAAGTCCACGTTGGCCATGATGAGTCGAGTTCAACGAGGCGGGCAACTGGAAGAATACAACTGAACCTTGATGGTAAAAGCGGCTGTAGCGGCGAAGAGACATCACAAACCTGGAACCCAAACGTTAAGATCCCTTTTTTGAATAGAACAAACATGCAAATACCATATTTTGGGGTGGTTGGTGGTCCAACATAGAGGTCATGTCAGGTTCTAGGAACATGATGTTTATACAGTTATACACATTAAATTCGGCTGATCATGCAAACCCCTTAGCAAGGACCACACCAGTTGATAAGGTCAAAGAATCAGGACCCACAATCCAACAACTCCACGATTGATCGGGTCCGGACCTAATCCGAACCATGATCCTTTCAGATCCTTTCGACCACGCGCTGTCAAATGCATCTCACCTCACAAACGTTCGCTGCGTGTCGAAACACTAGCATGACACACCTTCGCCGCTGGTCCGAAGGAAGCCCCCCATCCGAACCACCGCACACTGGTCGCTGGGTCGCAGCTCGGTCGTCCCCGGCGGCGTCCGAGTCCTTTCTTCGCCTCCAAGAGCTCCGCGCTCGTGCGCGAGAGCCGCTCCAGCTGCTGTTGCTGGTCCACCTCCAAGGCCTTCAACGCCTGGGAACCGGCGCTGACGTCGACGTCCGAAGTCGACGTCCGCGCGGCGACCCGGCTGAGCAAGACGGAGACCCTGTGGGGGGAAGGGACCGCAGCCGCGTCCTCTCGAGGGGATGGCAGTCTGTGACAGTGATTCTCTCGCTCTTGAGGAGATAAAGAGAACGTCTAAGCTTCAGCGAGAGAGCTAGAGGGGAGAACGTTCGGAGGCGACATGGATGAGGCGACATGCTAGTTTCCACTCGTGTGTTCATTGTTGAACCTGTACATCATCAATCATCGACTTCAAAGTCTTCATAGCCAGGAAAATCAGTACAGGTCCGTCGCCCTGCGAAGCCCTTCATTGCAGCTGCAAGCTATCAACCCAGCCAAAGCCTCGAATCCAACTTGGGAAGAAGCAAACCTGTGACATCCATTGCCTCCCCCCATTGATCACTGTATGGATCCTCAAAATTCAGCTAAGGAATCAAGCGAACAACATGGGAATACGGGTTTTCTCTCCAAAATAAGCTTGCGACAGAGTCTAAATGGATCAAAGATGATCAAACCATAGGGCTCCAAGTACCTCCTCAGAAGGTGTTTGGACCCTCTAAACCCACCCCAAACACCTTCTCAGAAGGTATACTTGGGGCGACCCGCGCTGCTCCGCGACGCGCGCAGGTCCGCTCCTTGAATGCATCTCCGCTTCGACGCTCCATCTGCTCCTGCATCTGCTCCTGGATCGAGGCGCCACCAGTCGTGTTTCCACCGTGGGGAGGGAGGGGGTCAACCCCCAGCCGTCCTGGTGATGGTGACCACTCTGAAAGAGTACCCGGATCACTCAGAAGTGGTGGGAAGATGGTTTTTCGATCCGGGGATAGCCCACAGTTGTGCACTGTGTATGTTTGCACCCGGGGAACTACACCTTGATCCCCAAGATAAGATATCCCTATCCTTTTTTCTGAATGTTCAGGTCCTGTGATAGAAATAGACCTCGTGGACGGTGAGCAACTTGAGCCATCATGAACCCAGCTTTGCTGCTCTTCTTCGTGTCTGTCTGAGTCACTGGTGGAATACGAGTCCACTGGTCTTCGGATGGCTGGACTGCCCGCTGCACCCCCAAAAAAGACCAATTTAGCCCAGAACGTCGCCACCGTTACGACGTACGCGACCTGCGCATCATACCGTAGAAGACCGTATAGTCCAATCCCTAAGGATCCTTGGACCCTCCATAGCAGGGGTTGAACCCTCCATAGCAGGGGGTTGGTACCCTCACCAAACCCTTGTTTTTGAGGGTCCGGATCCTTAGGTTTAAAAAAGATATTCTCCAAATCATTACCCTACACTACTTGTGGATCTCCATGTTCAAAGCCCCGACAAACCGACAGGTCCAGAGCCTACACAGCGTCGGATTAAGCTATGGCACCTGCCTCCGGTTGCTCCGGTGATATCGCTCAAGAGTTCCAAGCTGCCAGATCCGAAAAGTGATGGGTTCCAAGCAGAACTCGATGGTCCCAACGGTACGCGCTTTATCTATGACCTTCGTCCGCCGGACGAGCACGTCGACTTTCCGAGCGACGTCGGGGGCGACGGCTGGAGGCCTTGAGCTCGGCGACTTGGCTCTCCAGCAGCTGCCGCAGCTGCAGCACCGCCTGGGTCGTGGGTCGCTCCATGAGAATGGTCGAAGTCTGCGAAGGAGGGCGCACCACAGCGGGATGACGAAGGGCGGAAAAAGAAAAGGATGAGACTAGGCATGGCAAGGCAGGCTTTTCCTCAATTATTTGCTTGGCCTGAGAGTCTCATGAGAGGCTCACCTTGGGTGAATCTCTCTTGGACAAGTGTAACTTCGACCTGTAGCATTTCGAGGAGGATTTATATAGGCTTCCTTTCACCTTCTATTCCCAGACCATCCATGGGACTGGAATATATGCCGCCCCCCCCCAAAAGAAAAACCTTTCACCACCCCAACTGATCAGGAAAAACAGCCAGGTCACCAGGTCTGGGATTCTACTGACCATGGAGATATACTACTTTCAACGCTATGACCTGACTTCTTCCATTTCATTCTCCAAGCCAAGAGAGACACGGAACCCTCGGCACGTGGCCGGGTGGGACCGTGGAACCGCCGCCTTCTCGGCGCTGTCCCGGGCGAAGGTGCGGGCCTCGGCCAGGCCTGCTGGGTGGAAACGATCTATGACGTGGAAGCCGGGAGCCTTGTTTTGCTACACCAACTGCCATACAAGTACTTGTTTGGCTACACCAGCTGGTGGTTTTGCAGGAATGGACTGGTTCTAAACCCCTACACCGACTTCGTGGTACCGAACCTCAGCGGTTCCGGACCGATCGACCCTCCGGGCCCACCCCAGTCCCACCGAACCTCAGCAGGTACCACTGGAGGCCCAGAGAGTATGACTTTATAAGCAAACCCCAGCATCCTCCCTGCGTCACCCAATTCAGTCAAAGGGCCCCAACACGACTAGAGGAGACCTGTTGGAGGACTCATTCTCTCTATGAAACATCTTGGCTTTTCAGGGTGCTTGGCACTTGAATGAGACCTCTCTTCGTCGGAAAGTACCCAGAACCTGGATCCAACGCCGAGTTCATCATCGCTGGAAGGGTCCGGTGGTCTGTCAACATGTCCCGACCAAAGCCACGGTTCCGAGACTCCATGCTCGGCGGCTTGGGAAGACCAATCCAAAGACCCGGATGAAGTCTGGACGATGTTTGGACGAAGTAAAAGGAACTTCCTTTTCGTCGGTCATCTCCCTAAACATCCAAGTATATACTTCAGGTTCGGTGAGCAAGGAGACACTGTTATGTAGGTTTGAAGGGTCCAAGTACCTTCTGAGAAGGGACTTGGATCCCTAGGGCCTAGGGCCAAAAGACAATTCTTTATATAGTCTTTGACTCCCAGGGAATACACTTCCTGAAATGGTCTCATGGAACATGGCCCCGGTTTCCAATCGGATGACCATGATCTTTCCGAAGACCAAACAGGCTCGGTTTTTTCAATTCCATGATTATTTCAATTATATAGCGTATATCTTGGAAGGTCCACTTCCTATTCCCGGGGGCACTGCTTTTTTGGCCCAGAAAAACATGTGGGGCGGTTTATAATGTGGAAATCAAAGGGGTACTACGCGTCTTGGCCCAATTCCAAACGTTTTCAGCCGAAACACTGCGCACTGGCTGGTGAAACATGGTGAAAAGGAGACCCCTGAAAGGATTACCCAGCATTGAAAGGATCTCATGCTAGCTGACGCTGTCAGGCAGATTGAAACGGGTTTAGGCCTTATTCGAATGGGTTGAAATGGACCTCCCAAAACTTCATCCGTGAGAGGTGGAACTTGCTTGGTGTGGCACTCATGACTCAACTCATATGACTACTCTCATGACATCTCACTAAAAAGTTACTGCATAATAGATCGCTGGGTCAGTCGCGGTGTGGCCTTCAGAATGCTGGTTCGAGAAGGAGGAGATCTTCTCGATCTTCACCTCTGCATGTCTCAGAGCTTCCTCCAACTGCCTGCATGCACTGCTCAGGGGTGGCGCTCGGCACCGCCACAGAAGTAGTGCGGAGGCGGTGTGGCGGCGGAAGCTCAATGGAAAGCAACTTCGAACAGGGTGGCTCTCCCACCCAATCATGCTTGGGAATAGTAGCAAAGTGCTGAAAACGGTGTCGAAATTCCAGCAGTTGCCTACTTCCCGCGTGATTGCATTTGGCTTCAACACAAATCACATGATTCCTATGGTTCCTGGAGAATGAATCATCAGCTGAGCCTCCTGAACTCCTTGATCTGAGGATTAATCAAAATTGTTAATCTCTTCCTCTGTGCCTGGCTATATTAGGACACCTGTGCCCTAGCCAGAGGCATCATGCTACAAGTCTGCTCAAAACGCAGTCTCGCGACTCCAACGAATCCCGTCGCCTGCTGGCAGATTGGCACTTTTCCACGTCCGCAAGGAGACCTGGAAGCAACAGCGACTCGAGACGCTGCGAAGGACAGGCACGACGAGGTGTTCACCACACACCGCTTTTTTTCTAGCACATCACACCCAAGCAAATGCAGGAATCAGAAGTTCGCATTATGGGTCACAGGCAAAACGATCTATCAGTTTTGTAGATCGATATGTGCGACATGTCAACTACTGTAAAGAAATCAACATCTTCAGTGTGGGACGACCAAAACCAGCCAATCCTCCCCGACGTCCTCCAGCGGCAGGGTGCCTCGACGTGCCTCGGTGAGGTCTCCACAACTGCGGCCCAACTGCTCCAGCTGCTTCGAGTGCTCCGCCTGAGCACTCCGCAACGCCTGCGGAGCGCGGGGGGCGGCGGTGCTTCGGCGGAGCAAGCCGTTGAGCTGTGAGTCGGTCCGCAGCCGACTGTTCTTTGTTGGGGGGGCGCGGCCTACATAGCCAGACCAGAAGGCCTATAAGAACTTCTGGGTTTTGTATTGTTTTTGCCGCGGGTCGAAAAGAGAAACGACAAAAGAGTACTCCATCTGGTGAAAGAGCTTTGGAAAGGAAGAAGTATGAAGAAGCTGAGAAAGGGGATGAAAGTTCGGGTCGAAAGGAGCTTTCAACACCTGGTTCTTCAAGGGACCTTTTGATCCCCTGGTTTGAGGTCAGTTATAGGGTCACTACTAGGGTCACTGTATGGAAGTCCACCGAGGTCACGCACGAACTGAAGAAACTGGAACTCGACTTGTAAAAACCAGGAAGTTTTCGTTGTTGGAACTCCGGTGAAAACACTTTGATCGAACTGGATGGATTGATGGATGGATGCATGGATGGATGGAGGGATGGACGGACGGATGGATGGGATGGATATGTTGATGCAATTTTGCCTGTGAAAATGGCCCAAGGGCAACAACCAAACAGTTCATCGGTGGAAGGTACAGGTATGGACCACCCGCCGGGGGGCCTCGTCTGAAACATCTAAGCTCCATGGAACAGGCCTTTGCCGATCTTCTCTGGTGGGTTAGTACCAGGGGCCCTCAGTTGACCATGAAAAACAAAGGTTTTCACATACAAAACCATGTTTTTTGCTAGGGAAAACCTGGTTTTTGATGGTTTGTGGGGCCCCTGATAGGCACTACAAGAAGTCAGCTTTTGATGACCTTGGCCACCCTGACGAGCAACATGAAGAATAGAATGTGGTGCAAACCTTTGACACTGAGCTCCAACCTCCTCAAACCCTCCAACCTCCTCACCCGAACCAACCCCCCCAACCGGGATCCGATCCGACCGATCCGACCAGGCGCGGTCCGGCAGGGCACCTCCAGCTTGGGCCCGGTGTCGGCGCCTTGCTGCTCGAGGAGCTCCTGAAGCTGCGTGTGTCTGTCGGCTCGGCTCGCAGCTGCGGTCACCATCCGTCCAAGAAAGGGTCCCGGATGGTTTCGTTGGGATGGATCGATGGGCTAATGGCTAATATAGATGTTTAAAAAATATATAGTAAAAAGATCATATGACATGGGTCTCCAAGTGCTGAAAAAGCGTCAACCAAGGTCTCCATGTGCTGAAAAAGCACAGGCACACAACTCACAGTGTCCGTTCCATGGTTGAGCTCGGAAAAAAGAAAGGCACACTGCGTGTTGAAGTCTTGGTGACGCTGCAGGCTTGCCACACTGTGTGGTCTTGCAAAAGCATCGCACCCAAGTTCGCCCGCCAATCAATTGCATCTCTCCCACAAGATCCCATTGAATGTTGCAACCGAACATGGGTGTGAAGTTTAATAGAGAGACACTCAAACGGAGGGTAAACCGTAGACCGATATTCTTTCTTCCGGGGGGTCGAACTGAGAGGTCTCCCTATATGTTCATACACACACACATTTATGGCCTCATTCTTGATTCATCCCCAAGTTTGTCATTTTCAAGGAGTTGCTATGCGGAATGATCTTCTGCGCACGTGCCAGCCCTTGACTTGGCTACTGACAGCAGCGAAACAGAAGATCAAGATCTACTTAACACATCGCAACAGAATCCGGACATGTTCATTTGGCTGATGATGCTCTTTTTTGCTCTTGCACTTGCCAACGACGTCTGTCTGGGACTGCGGTGCAATGAATTGCACATTACATATTTGGCTGATGGACAAAGTTAACACACTCATTGCATCGAATTTCATCAAGTAAGCTGATCAGTTGCTGAACATCAACCGCACCAAGCACCCACAAACAAAAGAACACTTTAAACATCCAGTGACCCCTTCGAGTTCCGAAACTTCCTGACACCGCACGGGACTCGACTCGACTCCAGTGCAGCTCCACGGTGGAGGTTTGAGTCCTTCAGCTCGACCGCACGCTGCTGCGTGAGCTCGAAGCTCTGCTGGGCTCGATCCACGCCCTTCTGCGCCAAGGCCTTTGCATCGACCACACCTCGGCCAGGTGGCCCATGCAGAGGCACAGAAACGGCGCGCGCGCACGCGGTTTCAAGCGCTTCGCGGCGCATGCAGTGAGCAGTGGGCTGCTTGGGGGTTCGCTTCTTGGATTCTTTGCCCAGCCCCCCCCCAAAAAAAATAAACACGAAAGATCTTGAAGAGGGACGCAGGGATCCATTGGGAAAGTAAATCACTGATCCTGGGTTGCGATCTCCCCATTGCGATCCGATGGCATTCGTTTTGGGGGAGTGGATCTTGGAAGGTGAGAGCTCCGAGAGGATGACACATGACACATGGCCCCTGTGCAGGGCACCCTGTGCAGGGCAACCTGTGCAGGGTGGGTTGGTCTTTTGAGGATTGGCAAACAAAAAGGAATGGACGCCCCAAACACCACCATTTGAGGATTTGAGGAGACAATGGTCTAATATCAAACCCTGACGACTCCGGGTTCCAACAAACATCTCCAGGATGACTGCACGAGATTTAGTAGTCTGGACCTGGAGTCCAAAGAGTCCACTTCGATTCATTCGCCCGGAATCCTGTGGCAATCCATGGCAATTTCACACTGCGTATGACTACCAGCACCCTCCCTCCAACAGGTCACCAATTGAAACCTGTTAGAGCCTAACAACCCTCCATTTCGGAGACCTGTAGAGTCGGGTGCTGGTATGTCCATGGAACATTGACAGAACATCCGAACATCCCATCACACCAGTCATCGATCCACTCGTTTTGCCACCTTGCCATCGTGTATACCTGTGCTTTCATCCGCATCTACCGCCCCGCGTAGACCGACTCTTGCATACCGGAAACAACCACGAAAAACCACGCGTCCCGAAAAATCGCGCCTTGCGAGATCTCGGAGACACCACTGGAGAGCTTCTCCAGCCGGCTCTCGCAAAGGCGCAACGACTCGTCGTGCTGCCTGCCGTCTGCAGTCTCGCAGCGTCTCGCACCCGACAAACGGCGCTGTTGCAAGCAACGCAGCAACGCGGCAGAGCGGGTGAGGGACCTTTTTCGCTGTTTTCACACACCCGTGTCAAGCCTACACTAAATTACCTATAAATCTGCGCACTGTTGAAGTGGAAAAGGCAATGTTTTGGATGGTAGCCAGCGTTGGAGACTTGATTGAGCTGCGCATGGGCTTGATTCCCATGTTCAATCTTGGATTTGCTTGAGGCATTGGGAAAAATACACCTCTTTCCCGTTTTTGGGGATTCACTATATCCCAGACACTCCATGTATGCCATATATGCCTACATTGACCCCCAAAACCACCCCAACTGATCGGCATATATGGCAGTCCCATGGAGTGTCTGGGTATAATTCGATCATAGGGAAACTAAACTGCATCCGATGCGCAACACCAGGCAAACACCAGTTCTGAACGTTCTGACAGTCGGTCAGAACACTCGCCTACCGGTGGACTGCGCTTTTTCCAGCTCGACCACGAGTCCTCGCGGAAGTGGTGATGGGTGTTAGACAGTTGGACAGTGAAGCCATGTCTTGGGGACCAAAAGCGAAAAGTGGGGCAAAACCAGACATTTGTGGACGGAAAAAGGTGGATGTTGTCAATCTGATCTCTCATGACATCTCTAAAGGTTCTTACAGAACCCTAGGGTGTCAGTCGTACCTCCATGAGAAGGTATGACTGGACCTTCTAAACCCTCCCCAAACACCTTTTAAGAAGGTACGACTGGAGCCCAAACGGGGTAGTTCTTGTTTTGAAGGCAAAATGGTCTACACCGGTGAGGCCGTCTGGACGGCGCACCGGACGATGCCGGACCCGGGTGATGCACGTTGAGCCGAAGCTTGCCGTTCGGAACCACCTTAGGTAAGCACCCATTAGATTTTCCTTGAGATATCCAAACAAACAATCAGCAAAAATGGCATATGTTCCCTAAATTGAGCCATGTGTTTTCTTTTTTAAAGTGATTCTTATCCATCTCTTTCATGCATGGAGATCTATAACTCCACTGCTCCCCCCACTCGCTTCGCCCTCGGCCGACTGGGGCCGACGAGGAGGTCCTCGGCGCACGTCGGAGACCTTCTCTGAGAGGGTCTTCCACTGCTCCAGCTCTTGCGTATGCTCCAAGCTGGAGGCCTTCAGAGCCTGCCAAAGACAAAGACAAAAGTGTCCTTTCAATTGGCGCAAAATGCATATATATATACCCCAGGGTTCATAAGCCTATTTAAAAAATAGTTCTTCCAGAAGCAACGGTTTCTCAAAGTAGTCGCAAACTTAAAAACCCAACCCCTCCACATTCACAAACACCTGCCGCTGCACACAATCACATCGATACAGCCTTTTTCACTACCCACGTCCCCTCGCCAGTCTTGTGGCGACTTCTTTGTTCATCCTTGGCTCGATCACCATTTGGGAATGAATTCCCTATAAGATCCTATAAGTGTTCACAGTCATTTCTTGTGACCAAGAAGTGCACAAGTGGAATACATGTAAGGCATTGAAGAATATCTCAAGGTCTCCATATCATTCTCCAAGGCACTGTTTCACCTTGTGTTTGGTCGCCCAGATCCTGAGATCAGCACAGGGAAGTAGATGGAAGGTAATAATCAAGAATACTAGATCGACTGTTTCAGTGAACACCTCAACCCTTGAAACAACCCCCAGCTTCGTCTAGTGGCCGCATCTTGCCACATCTTGTGATCCACCTGGTTCGATGGTGAGGGTGGGCCTTCAGGTATGTGCCTGAGATAAACAAGCAACAAAGAAGGTTGTACATGTGTAGAATGCACATGCACACAACAGGTGCACTGGCACTAGTGGTGACTACTTGATGAGAGATCCTATAGCAAGCAGAGATCCACTCTAGACGAGTTGTTTTCAAGTTGATATAGATCAATGGTTTGAGTCAATCCGCTCATACTGCATTAAAGACTGCAAGTGTGACCTCATACCCATAAGCGCATCCGCTAAGTTGCTTTTTGTCCAAGCCATGGCATCCTCATCCACAAAACAGTGGTAGAATCGTGGGTTGCTTCCTTATGGCAGCACAAGCGATATTGTACCATGTTGGACCATGTTGGGGAGATGATGTCTGGGAATTATACGCGTCTGGTTTATGTCAAGCACACTCAAAAGGTGGTTGACTTGAATAGTAAAATTGGTGGTGTATATAAATTTGTGGGCCAGGTTCTGTTGTCTCTGGCAGAGACCAAGATGTGCCAGAGCGCCTCACTATCCAGAAGAAAAGCACAGTAATAGAAGCACATGATTGAAACTGGAGACCTCATCATGGTTTGCAATGCTTAGAGGTCATGGAAAACATCATGCACACTGACACTGGCCAAGCAGACAGCCAAGTGGCATGGAGTTTTGGTCGAATAAACCATTCTTGACATCCTCTCCTGCATTGATCGGCCGTCGCTCAGACCCTCCCAGCACCAAGACTCTTCAGGATTTTGAGAACCTCTTTGAACAGTTTGAAGCTGCTAGGGCAAGCAATGTGTGAGGTCATGGTAGATCCCTCCCAAGCTAGCAGTCCTCACTGACAATTGAGCCAATGCCAAGTACAGCCGAATGAAGCTGCAACCATCTTGGAAGATCGCGTTGGACTCCTCCTCAGTCCTTGAGGCGTCAACTACTTGTTTGGCAAAGGTGGCATCATCCAAGTTCACCAGTTGTTAAAAGTATCTACTATGATTTGTTCTAGTACATTACATATTATGTATCATATGACCAACTATTTTGATAAACCATTGCTTCTGGAATACTATGAACAAAGCCATTGAACCAACCCCGTGGGTATGCACCCCAAACCACTTCAATGCCCGCATTACCAACACAACTCCACAACACACAGGCAAGGTGCAGGAACCGTCCGGCTTTCTCGATGTTCAGCATGAGCCTGGCCAAATGGAACCTGGGCACACGGATGCTTTGACTCTCAGCTTGGTACTTTGTGGTCGGAGTGTGGGAGTGGTGCATTGCCCAACAGATGCATGTTCTTCATAGGGGGCTTAAGGTTTGTTCAATCGATATATATGCCAGAATGCACTATAGGTTGAAACCAATGCATTGTTTTTTGTTCAAACCTGGTACCATGGTTATGTTGGATTGCAATCCCAAGGAAAATCATGTTTTATGTACAGGCAAGAAACATGCAAATGGCCACAGGAGCAATGCGGTCATCAGTGTGGTTGGGATGGTCTTGGTCAGATATCACCGTAATGGTTTCAGCTAGCCATTGCGTCACCACCCTGCCGTTGTATGCCTTGCAAACCAGCATCACATCGCCATTGGTCTGGTATAACTTAGTTCACAACGTTCATTAAGCTCAAAGCTTTAGCAGATGAGACAAAGCTGACACACACAATCTCCCACAAAACAAATATAAAAATATAGAACAGCTTAAGACTAATTGTCCACAAGAAACCATTCTCGGACGGAAGGCTGGTTGGCTGCACAGGATTCTGTTTCGAGAGCACCACGCTTTGAAGTGCAAGTATGCTCGATGCAACCGTGTATGCAAAGGATCCTCCATGCTTCCCCAAAATCCACTTGTCAGAAGCAAGTGCCTTTGATGAGCTTGTCAGAAGAGATGTTGGTCATTGACCTATTCTTTTGTTGTGCCCCTGGAAATGGTAGGCATATGAGGGACAAACACACAATTAATATCTCAGATAACATGTTTTGGTCCACACATACTTGCGCAATGCTGGCCAGTCACATAGTAGCGCCGTTGGCAATGTATAATAGGCCAAGGTTCAGAGTGTGCATTAAGCACCATCGGATTGTGGCGGGATGAAATCTGCAGAGGCCGATGAAGGGGCCTCAGTAGAAGGACATGATGGAATGGTGTGCAGAGGGCACAACATGTATAAACACTGGCACAGTTGCCAGCCATGGCAGAGCATGAGCTTTGGACTCGGACGATACAGGAACCAAGAGCCAGGTTGGTTAATCCAAAAACCTATATAACGTCCTCGTCCTCGTAAATTGAACAGAAAAAAGAACATGCATCGTTCGCATGCGTCAGCAAAAACACCTGTCACATGTGCACGCGTGAAACTGCCTGTATATACGTATGTTGAGTCAAGCTTCAAATCTTGCGGGGCGGCATGCGTTCTGCCAAGAACTGTGTCAATGTAAATGTCTCGTGATTGTTGCTCTCGATGTTCCAGTACAGCTCTGACCAAGAACGGGAAATGCCCTTGGCATTGCAAAGATGACAAATATTCTCTCCATTCCAGTGCGTATTGTTTCCAAAGCGCCAAACCTTTTTATGAAACGACCAGTCCCCCCGCAGTTCTGTCACCTGGAACTTGAAGCCAGAAGAGGTCAGCGGTTGTCCCGCTTTTCGCAGGGCAGCACCAGCTAGGTTTTGACCGAGGTGACCCTCTTTGGGGAAGTATCCGTAGAAGGCATGGTTGGCCGACCAAGTCATCCTGCGCAAAACTGCAGGCAGGGTTTCACTAGTCAGCCTCTCCTCTGCAATAGCAAAGACTAGAAATCTGGACCAGCGAACAGACTTCGGGCGCCACAGAATAAGGTTGCAGAAGAGGGCAAGCACATGCTCGTGCCCAAACCGCGTATCCACGCGTGCACTGTCACCATACAGGCCAATTGGCACTAAAGTATCCATCTCTGAAGAAGCAACCTCCTGTGCCCAGGGTTCTCCAAATTCTTTTGACTTCTGCCAATATTCTCGCAGTTTGTTTGGAGGGATGCTGATCTTGGCCTCATCCATCAAAAAGCTGAGTGTGTCATGGATGTCCAAAATAGGCCAGGGCTCTACCACCACTGTTGGCTTGCCGTCACTGTCCAAGTATTTCACAGGTAAATCAATTGAGGACACTGCCTCAATCTCAAAATTTAGGGAACCATGTTCCAAAGACAGGATGTGCAACTGTCTGGTTTGTGCCAAGCACATGCATGCACGTATCTTCCCTGCCACTGCACTTATTTATGCAAAGTGTTCTTAGATTTGGTGCAGGTGTATACATGCACACTCATTGGTTGGCTATTGAATTCACATCGGGATAGCCTCTTTCAATAGTCAGTCTATTGCACAAGCTGGGGCTGCACATGTTAATGTGTGTATTAATCAATCACAGCTACCAACAAGTAAAGCACACACAACTTACTGTTTTGATGGCAACCAGGGGTGTATTCAGTGTATTCACCACCACTGCTTCTTTCATTCATGACTCGTTTTCTATAGTTTTTGTTTACAAATTCAGGTAGATCTGGTGATTGTTTGACTCACTAATGCTGTGACAAGTCGCAGGACCTCCTCCAAGCCAGCACCACCAGTCCCTGCTGGCATTCTTCGGACACAATCTCCCCAGCTTTTGCGCAATGCCAGCAATCCCAAGTTGTCCAGAATCCTCAAGACCAACAGTCCTAACCCGAAACATGGACAATAATAATCCGTCATTGGTATGTTCAATCCATTGTTTGTGAGACCTTCCTACAGGGCAGTTTCATGGATGGACTTTGGGACTTTTCGCACATGGTGCTGTGTGTATCCAACACATACATATGCACACTGTCACAGCATAATTTCATTAGTGCCGCGACATGACACATAGTTCACCACCATGCAGGTCCCATCCCAACTTCCCAACACATTTTATGTTGTCCTCATCAGTGTTTCTGCTGAGGATCCTTCGCATGGGCCTGGACATTGCGCATCGCTCGCCCAACTGTGCTGCCCTGAGATGGTCGTTTGCAGATGGGGACAGAACCATCACCCCAGAAGCTAAGCCCAAAAGGAACTGATGGCAAAGCCATGTAGCACACTTCAATAGCTCATGACTGTGGATTTAATTCAACATACATCGAGAACAGGTCCCAACTCAAACCAAAATCTATGCGGAGGACCAAAAGCAATACCGAATGACCCCCAATGAATTTCAAGCAAGAAAGAGCAACACGTTTAAGCCATATTTGGCCAACCAATCCAAGGATTTCCTGTGCTGATACGTGCATGCATGCATGCATGCATGCATGCATGCATGCATGTTTAACATGCATGTGTTCACAACAGCAGCTATAATATATATTATATATATGAATGTCGCACACGTTCAAACAACTAATCTTCAAGCATCTCCACTGCACACATCATCAATAGCGTTCTCCATCACCTTTGATCGAAGGATTTCAGCATTGCCACCTGCGTGGGCACATGGCAATGCTCTTAAACTCTTTTGGAAATAAAGCCCCGATGAGATGTGACAGCTTTCTTTCTCCAATGGCATATGGTCAACATTGCGCCATTCTCAGCAATGTCCAGTTCTCCCATGTAAGCTGGACTGTGTTGCCAAGTCCACTGCTACACTGTTTCTGCTTTTTAGGACATCATTTCACGATTTCAATCACCGCAACAGATGCATGTGTTACATGTTCCACAAGACGACAAGATATAGACTCGGCCAGGGCTTCTCGGTCATCTCTAGCGCACTTCAAAAAGAGGGTCGAAACGCGGTGATGGTGCAAACTGACTTGCCCCACATTGAGCTGGTGCTGCCGGTCGGGCCACTACAAAGCTGAACTACATTGACCATCAGTGAACAGATTCGACCATGCAGTTGCGTGAATTGTTCATTACAACAATGTCTCAGCAGTTCCTATGGCAACACCTGGCTCCCCCGTGCAAGATTCACACCCTAACACCACATCTAAACCCAGGACAAAGACGGCACTGGGCAAAAATCGGGTTGTCATGTCTACTTTAGGTTCGAGCGGGTCAGAAACGATACGTACTCCTCAATGAGCTTGGTGGCTTCGTCAGCCAACTTCTGCAGATCTTTCTCCTTGAGTGAGATTGGATACAGAAACTTGGAGATGCATGATACAACACCTGCATTTCCTCATTGCATGTTCCAGGTGAGCTGTCTGTGTGTGCATGTATGCGGGCATGTGCGCAGGCAGCTCGATGTTACTATGCATATGTTTGGTTTGGAAATTAGGCTAGAAGGGCCATTCAAGAACTCCACACGTCCAATCTAATTGAAAGCCAAGACACCTCAAATGCATCGATCCGTCCTTGGATGCGTCCGCGTAGGTCACACATGGCATTCTTCTTCTTGGTGATTGGATCACCAATGGCTTTCTTGAGGTCTGGAGACCTCAGCAAGTCACTGGCTCTGTCGGCCAAGATGCGATCATGGTGCTGTGAAACAGGTGTTGGATGGTGTTCAGAGATGCCTGGGTCCAAACATAGTTGACAAATCCTGAATTCTGGAACTATGTTCGTCTGAACAACTCTACTTTTGATGTTCACTAGGATTGTCATGCCATGCTGACACCTCCAATTGTCATGAACCGTTGCATATAAAGGGTTGCTCGGGAATCATGGATGCACCCGATATTGAGGTTTAAAGGGTGTGGTTTGAGAGATGATGTTCAATTGACTTGGATGGATGTGGCAGTACCCAGTCGTTATCCACACCGAATTAAGTACTTGCTGATTGTATATATTGTTATCGTTAGGGTCACCATTCCCAAACTGATGGGGCACGCTTCAAGATGGATCTTCCCTTGACTGGTGGGTGTTGAGCATGAGGGTTTTGTGGTTGCAGAAAAGACTCCAAAACCTAGGAGTGGCTATGGCTTTGGGTTAATTAGAATACCATTGAACCAATACTATATATAGCTGTGTAATGGACTAGTGTTTCCAAATTACTTGGCCAACCCACCAAGCAGTGCTTTACCCATGTTCATACTGTGCTTAACAGCCGTGTTGGCTTGAAAAAAGGCATCAGTGCCTACTGTTGGTACCTGTTCACACATTTGATCCATATATCAAAATCTCCTTTCCCAGGACAGCTGCCCTGGGACTGGGATTTATGTCAGACGCCTACCTATGAGTTTTGCCAGAAAAAGCTTCTGATTCGGATACCACAGGTCTTCTAGGCTGGTCACCCTCTTTTGGTCTGCATATATCTCCCAGGACTCAATATCAAATCAATATGTTGTTGACTACATCTACACGGTGAATCCCGGTATGTCCCTCGATCAGCTCAACCCACTCAACCCAGAAACATGATTAATGCAACAAACACCTTTGATTGTTGCACTGGATCATTTGGCATTTTGATTTGGGCCCCCAGAGAACTGGTGAGAAACAATCCCCAAATTGGGGGGTATGCAGACTTCTTGAGCCAGGATTGGACAAACCACTGGCCCACAGGTGTTGAGTTTTCAGTATTGAATCCTGGTGCATTTGTTGCAACCTCTTTTGACTACTGCCAGCCTGTTCCGGCAAACTGCCCAACCTAAGGCAGGAACAATGTCGCCACGGCCTTCTCCCTGCTGCAGGCATCCACGATCTTGTCGTTCAACTGGGACATGGCCTGCGCTTCGGGCAAAACTATGTATATGGTTTTTGCTTCAAAGTAAGATGAATCGAATTGATCAACTCACAGGGATAATTTGAGAGCACTGCCTACGCCTACAACCAAGTAATTGAGAAGAAATTGCTCACCTGTTGAAATCTAAGAACATGACTAGGTCAGGAAAAAACTTGCTCTGGACGGAGGTGGAAGGGGCACACTGGTTTGCATTCATTCTGTGTGTGCACCATTGATCACAACATGTGTTGCATCATATATATTTTGCGATATATAACCAATATAGTATACATGCATATACGGATACTGTATATAATATATACACTGTACATAGAAAACCTGATGTTGTTCTGCCGGAGGCTAAGCTGAACACAGCAAAGGTGCAGTATGGCATGCATGGGTCTGTTCCTAAGCCCATCAAAAGCGTCACATTTAGAATGCATGCCACGCCTTCTTCCCTTTGCTGAACAGCTCTTTGACTTGCTTGGTCTTCTCCCTTTCCTGCTCTTTCTGAAGTTTGTCTTGTTCTTTCTGCAGTCTCTTTGCCCTCTGTTCCTTTGTCTCCTTCTTCTTGCCTTTCCCGGATTTGCCCGCTTTCTTTCCCTTTTGCTTCTTCTTTTTTTTCTTGTCCTTCCAACGAGCTGTATAATTTCCAGTGGTAGGTTCATTGGGATCAAGTTTATATGATGTTGTTGGCAGACATTACATCACTACGAATCACGAATATATTGACCAGCACCAGAAATTTCAAAAATGCTCCAGAGTTCATTTGTTGACCTACCAATGCTTATCAAAACCTGTCAAATTTGTGTCCAGGCCTTCTCATCTGAATCGGAATCAGACCCTGAGGACTGGCTGGACTTGCTGCTCTTTTCCTTTTTCACTTTGGTAGTCTTCTTCCTCTTTCGATTGTCAATTGATTCAGCACTGTCGGAATCCCCTTCAATTGCTTGAAAGAGGTCTTCAACGACGGTATCGGTCTGCTCCGATATTGAATCGGAATCCCATACCAAGAATAGCCGCATATCCTGCAAGGCACACAAGATCTACAGGACAACCCAGTGTGGGAAACCCAGAGGGGTCTAGCTTGGCCACTGAGAGATCGGCATACCTCTATTTTGGAATCTTCGGAATCTTCTTTGGCATAGGCAAATTGCAGCTAAGCTGATTTTTTTTGAGAAAACAATCACCATCTATTGAATGACATCTCTCATCCAAAGGTGATGTGTACCAGGGAAAATCAAGTCTGCTGCAGTTAAAATAGGACGCATTGAAATTCGATATGTGTGTTGATTTAGCAACACACACTCGATCTATAAACCATTGTTTGAACATGCAACCATCCCTCCTCGTTGTTCGGCGCATCTGGATGTGGTTTGGTATGACTCTGCTTGAGTTCCTCGTCTTGCAACTTTGCATTGCAAATCTCGTTGGCTATATCCCAACTTTCGTATTTCCGGGCTATTTGGGCCCGGGTCATCCAGACCCGGGCCCCTCTCTGCGAAACACTTGAGCGCTGGGTGATTCGCTTGTAGAGGCTGCTTTTGCGCCATTCCCCCTGGCACTCTGTCCATGCA